GATTTAAGCTTCGAAAGGAAAATAATAAAATCAACCGAAACTTACATATAATTTCCTATCTTTCTGATCATTTTTGGTTTACATAAACCCTTAAAAAAAAAAGAAGAGAACTGAGAGAAGAGATGTCCCCATGTGAGAGTTGCACTCGTGCTCTAAGTTGATCCATGTCCATACCACGTGTCGGTCACCCATTTGTTGTCAAGAGGAAATTTCATTGACATCTTCCGCTTATGATTTAAGCTTCGAAAGCAAAATAAAATCAAGCGAAACTTACATTTAATTTCCTAACATTCGGATCGTACTGATTTATATAAACTCTTAAAATAAATTAAGGCATCACAATAATATGTAATTTCCATGCATCGCAGTATATTTCAAAAAAATATATATATTGGGGTGCCATAGCCTCATAGAGCTGCTTTCTCAATAATATAATTCAGAATACTTACATCCAAAAGATAAGGAAGAGAGTATTAGTAGTTACGAGTATTACATCCAAACGATATGTATATTTTATATTAGTAGTTAAGAATATTAAATTCTCTCAATTCACCTTCGACCAGCGAAAAGAGGTCATAACACACAGAACGTACAGAAGGATTGAATGACACTTGTGTATATCCACCGGAGGGAAAACGTTGTAGAAGTGAAGAAATCTTGGGGCGCAGGCTAGGGCAATGGTGGGTCTACACAAGTGTCTGCCTTTGCCAGCAGCCACAAAAGTATGGTCGGGGATTTCACTTTGACCATCACAACACTCGAAACATGAGTTTTTTTTTTTTTTTTTTTTGTTCTTTCAATTTTTGTTTTTTTAACGATGAATAAATTCAAAAATATAAAGTCTAGTTAATATATGGCCTCAACTAAAAGTAAAATGCTATGTACTGGCAATCCATAATGTATTATCGCTTTCGCTACATCTTCCTTTGATCTATTTATTTTGCTAAGCAATTTTAGTATTGTATAATTAACTTTTTAAGTCGTCTGAATTATATTTTAATTTCTCAACTACAGACCATTACGGCATAATCGTCTTTCATTAGTTTAATTAGTAAAAGGACCAATGGATATAACATTTAATAATATCCTCCATTTGCCCTATTGTTTTTTAGCCGTGGGCATTGGTCTTTACCGTTCCCAAAACATGTTTATGAAAAACTTCCACCGTATTAACAGTCCACAGTAAAAGTCTCAACTAATCACTGTCTTAGTAGCCTTTGAAGCTTCTAAAACTCTTATAACGTAACGTTTGATTCCAAAGTAAACAATATAATAGAGGTAATACATTAAACATTGATTGTAATAAACTAGAAATTTTATAATAACACAAATACACGAGGAATAAGTATATACAAAAAAAAAAAACTAGTGAAATCAACAACACACATCTATTTTATTAAAGAAAACAAGGAACACAAACTATCTTGTACATCAACTCTTCCCAAGAAAGAGAGCTCATGTGTTTGTAGAAAGGAGAGGGATCATCTCTGACAGAGACGGGATTGACTTTCGGGTCTTCGAACACATATCGGTTATGCTCTCCACTTTCGGATGGATCTTACCCAATAAAAATGTTCAAAAAGATAAAAGAAAGACAAAGATCATTACGAATAGAAGAGACTGATTAAACTTATTCTAGTTTTCGATCCAAACAGATTATATATTGGCGTAAGCCCATAATTTTCTTAATTACTCCAACAAACAAAAAAACTCATCATTTGAAGGCTACCGGAGCGTGGGCTGCACGCGCTTGCTACTCGGCGGCTCAACTATCAGCTTAGACTTTAAAGGAGATCGAGATGGAAACAGAGCCTCCAGAATCATCGTCTTCACTAACTTCCTCTCTTTTGGGAACACACTCCCTTGTTTCGGTCCCAACCGCTGCTGCCGCCACTCTCCATCATCTACCGCCACCGCTTCCACCGTTTTGTTCACCGAGCTCATCGATCTTTACTTTCTGTCTAATTCTCTCTTGTCGTCTTGAGGAGAACATAAACTCCTGGTTTTTGCCCTCAATTTATCAGTTGATGAGACTTATCCTACAAGCTAGTTAACATGCATTAATAATAGTTTTTTATTTAACTTTGTTATTCCTCACGTGGCCTTGTTCACTAAGTTATCTTCTTGAGAGCCACTAATTAAGTATGTAATTAATTGAGATACTTGCTAAGTGATTAAAGCCAATTAATTCTCTTTTTTCGCGTTAGGCATGATATGGATATGCTGCACTCTCCTTTTTCTACCTTTACCTATGGATTGGCCATTAGAATAATTTTATCGTTAACTATGGATTGGCCGCAACTCTCCTTTCTCTACCTTTATAGTTTATCATTTTAATATTTTCGTATTACACGATCACGATCACTCGTTTTTTTTTGTTGCTAATAATTGCGCAAATGTTTAATAGTCATTACGATCACAATAATTGTCGCTTTAACGCTTACCACAAAAAATAAGAAACAAGGTAAAAATGTAGCTCTATCCCTACAAAAAGTAAATGGACTCTAGTACGTAGGTGCTATTAATAACTTTGATTGGAGGTTAAATTAGATATTTCAAGTAACAGTTTACATTAAAATTCCAAGCACACAACACGTTTTAAAACATACAAACAGTTACAGTTATCACAACACTTAATTTAAAACGGATGGATTATCAAAGACTAAACAAATTAATTTTAAGCGATAAGATTACTTTCATTAGACTATTAAACCAAGTTTTCTTTTTATATGAATCTTCATTTCTATTTCAATATTTTAGTTTGGAAAATTTTAGGCAAAAAAAAAAAAAACATTTGTTGGAAGACAGTTAATGATAAGTTAAAAAAAAAAGACAGTTAATGATTATAATAGTAATAAAGACATATGAAGCGTGCCTTTATTATTCCATGTTTAAAAGTTTTTTTTTTCCTTTTGTTGTAAAAAATGTTTAAAAGTCTTGGAGCGGCGGACCGGACTCCTTGGACCATTGTCGTTATTTGGGAATTGGGATTCACGCCTTGATTATTTAAATAACTAATGATTTAAGGTGTGACATGAATAGACAGCAAGAACATGCAATGAATAAATGTTTTTTAGAAAATATACTATGCTTTATGAACCACAAACATTAAGATGGAATGATAAAACCATAAACATATTATAATTTGATACTTCTTAGGACCACACTAATAGAGTTACGAAATAAACAACCATTTTACTCATCTGATCTCAATCCTCAAGCTGATGATTACAGTTCATACGATAATGAGATAATAATCCAGCTAGAGGAGGACACTTGAAATCAGTCTTTTTAGTTTGCTGTTGCTAAAAAAGTATGACACTTACACACATACAAACAACAGGATACAATTTAATAAGCGGAGGAATCTCTAGTAGGACCAGCTCTGAGATTGAAATGATTTTTTTATGGCATTTTAAATTAAGATCTAATAATAATAACAAGAAAAGAATGGTAAAAAAACAACTACAATTTATCAGGAAATTTCGTATAAAAAATCCGGAATCATAGTTGTTTGTTTTAAAAAGAAAGATTTCGAGTAAATCTCTCGACGTGACTATATATATTAATCATATCAAACGGGGACCATTTGTCCTGATTAATATTTAAATTCTAATTGAACAAAAAAATTGCTTGATGTGGATCATTCTTCCTTAACTACGCCTTTTTAATGAAAGTGGTAATCTTTTATATGACTTCGACCTAAATAAAAGATATTGTGAATCTGAGAGCATCTCTAATGTATAATTGTATTTTTCATATCAAAATAAAATAATTGCAAAATTTAATTGATTTTTTTCTAATGTATGATTGTATTTTTAATTTTAAAAATAATATTATAAGTAGATTTTTTTATTATCAATTACTAATTATACACATATTTATCAAAACTTACAAATTGACCTTTTTAATTACTTTATTTAAAAAGTTTAATATTTTTGAGATTTATGTTATTATATTTCTATTAAATAAATATTATTTGCATTTTAGTTTTAGAAATTAGAATGTTTTAGTATTTATAATCATCAATAAAAAAGAAATCATCATCAAAATAATTATTTACTTTTTAAAATAAAAATATTTAAGATTTGAAAGATTATTTTATAAATAAAAAAGTTCAATTGCAAAATAAAATTTAAGATCAGATGATTTTATATTTGGAATCAAAAATAGCATTTTACTATTATGTAACTGAAAATGAGATGAGATTGGAGCACATTTTATTCCAAGATGAAATTTGAAACTATACTTGATATAGGGTTGGAGATATTTTTTGATAAAATTCTCTGTCTAGTAAAACAGCAAAAACAACTTTGAAGTATTTTGATACATCGAAAATATAAGAAAGATTATTAAAATGATATTAATGCTACTAAATAAAGATTCTCGACCTATTAGAGAGGAACCTCCTTGATCATTCACTTGAAATTGTGTTCGATTGGTTATTTGGTTTGATGACGCATGAAATTTGTATCGCCCATCAACAAAATTTCGCAGAACTTGCCGGCTTTCAATAAACGTTTTACACTAGCCAATAACCATTGATACACGTTATTATTGTCAAATACTGCCAAAGGAATGTATGAATAATCATCAAAATATAGATAATTATATTCATTTTCATCAATATGAAAAATACCCCGAAAATTTGTAACGTGAAAAAATGGTCTCTGGCTTTCTGTGTGTTTTTAATAATAAAAAAAACCCTAAAACAAAGATATGTTTAAGAGTGAATACAAAAAGAAAAGTCGACAAGTTGCATTTAAGAGCCTTAGTCCGTATAGGCCAAAGTTGATCTACTAACGCCAAAAGCAACCAACCTTCATTCATCATGATTCATGACAATGCAATAGCCAAAGCTAAATAAAAAAGTACAATAGGGTGGAGAACTAAAACCACACTTTGCAAATATCGTTTCAATAATAGCAAGCTTGTTAAAAAGGATACAACAATATACTAAGCAAAGATATAGATAAAGCCTTCTTATTTCATGGAGTTCGTCAAGGCAGTGACTTTGCCATTTGCCTGAGAAGAAACTTTTGAATTTTTCCAGTAGAAGTCTTTGGAAGCTCCTCCTGAAAAATCACATTCCTCGGAACCATATACTTAGGCAGCTTCGTTTTACAAAACTCCCTAATCTCCCTCTCAGTCACTGACCCATCACCATTGTTATTATCATACTTCAAGCTCACGAAAGCACACGGAGTCTCTCCCCACATCTTATCCGGTTTAGCCACCACCGCAGCTTCCTTCACCACCGGATTTGTATACAGAACGGTCTCAACCTCCGCACTGCTTATGTTCTCTCCTCCGCATATGATCACATCCTTTGACCGGTCCTTGACCTCCAAGTAACCGTCTTTATGTATAACCCCTACGTCTCCACTATAGAACCAACCGTCCTCTCTCATACACGCTGCGGTTCCTTCCGGGTCTTTGTAGTAACCCAACATAACAGATCCACCTTTGAACACGATCTCTCCTACAGAGACTCCATCGTGCTCCACGCTCTTTCCAGTCACCCGGTCTCTAACATCGACTTCCGCAAATCCGATGGTTCTTACTCCTTGTCTTGATTTCAATCTAGCTCTCTCCAACGGAACAAGTTGATCCCACTCTGGCTTCCAAGCACATGACACAACCGGGCCTCCGGTCTCCGTTAAACCGTAGCCATGACCCACATCGAAACCTAGGGATTCCGCCCGGGAGATGATTGCTGCGGGAGGTGGAGCTCCGGCCGTCATAACCTGTTTTCAAGAATTTGATTTTCATAAACACAAAAGAGTGTTGTTGATTCTATTTACGTACAACTGACGTTAAACCGACCCGGCTTTGAACCGGGATATCTATTCATACCTTAACCGGATTTTTGAGCGGTTTACGGGTGGGGTAGTTAGTCAGCATGTTGAGAACCATCGGTGCGGCACACATGTGGGTCACGTGATGCTTATCGATCAAGTCATAAATAGTTGGCGCGTCAACTCTCCGTGTGCAAACGTTTGTGGCTCCGATAGCAGCGGTGCCCCAAGTGTAACCCCAACCATTAGCGTGGAACATCGGTAAGGTCCAAAGGTAAACCGACCGGTTTGGTAAGGACCAGTCAAGCAAGGAGCTAACAGTGAGCATGAAGATTGCTCTGTGGCTAAGCACTACTCCTTTGGGAGACGACGTCGTTCCAGAAGTATAGTTGAGCACCATCGGTTTCCACTCAGTTTGTGGACGGATCCACTTGAATCTTGAGTCTCCTCTCTCCATGATCCCTTCGTACGTGTCAAGAAAGTCCGATGCGGCCGAAGCAGAGGAAGAATCATCGTCATCATGGAGGAGGACGAGGTGGGGTTTCTCGTGCTGTCCCAAGAACGAGACTGCTTCGAGGACTAAAGAGATGGAGTTGTGGTCGACGAAAACGAGCTTGGATTCGCTGTGACGCAGGATGACAGAGAGTGCGTGTGCGTCTAAGCGAGGGTTGATGTTGTTTAGGATGGCCCCGGACATTGGGACGGCGAACTGAAGCTCGTAGACGGACGGGACATTAGGGCCCACGACGGAGACGACTTGGCCTTGTTTGATGCCGAGGGAAGAGGAAGTGAGAGCCGAGGCTATTCGGAGACAGCGGTTGTGGGTTTCGGACCAAGTGTGGGCGGTGTTTGTGGTGTGGAGGATGGAGGGACAGTCACCGTAGACGGAGGCGGCTCGGTCTAAGAAGCCGAGGACGGTGAGTGGTGTTGAGTTTGATGGGTGTGGAAGTAAAAGTTCCATTGTTTGGATTGTTTATGTCTTGTTTTGGTATGTGGTTTGTGAGAAGACTGAAGAAGGGTTTGTATTTATAAAATCTTGGAGGTGTTGGAGTTGAAAGTCTTTCTTTTTTTGTAACTATAATTGATTACATATGGCCCACGAGATCAGCTTGATGAAATGAAGTAAACAAAGCTTCTTTAGTATTCCTAACTTATCAAAATACTAAATTCGGTTAATTTATAAAGAGAGTCTATAATTTGAGGGGAGGAAATAAGAGTTTACAGAAGAAAAAAACGGAGGTAGGTAATGAAGACAGAGTTTACCAACTAACAAAATTTGGATCGAACGAGCTGTGTTCAAAGTTTCCAAGATTGTGGCGACAAGTTCTTAGTATGGACTACGGTCGAAGGAGTTTGCTAAAATAAGCATCCTTTCTTTCTAAATGTATTATATTCATAAGAGAATGTTTATACAAGGTTAAAACGGTACGTAAAAGAATTATGCATGCATGATACTTTTGAATCAAACTAGTAAATTATTTCCGGATGAAAGATTCCTAATATTATAGCAAGTAGAATTTTCACATTTGGTAGCATTTTAAAAATTATTCGAAAACCTTATATACATTTTAGCATTGAGCTGACGTTAGCATCGGTTTCTACGGTCGTCCACATGATGTTTTGCTTACGTTTATTGTGAGGATTGGTCGCTACCGTCGAGCGACTTGTACTTTGTGTCAGTTATAAATTAAATACTGAGAATAGATATTTTGTTTTTTCTAGAAAATAATTGTATAGATATGAGTTCAGCTTGGCTCTTGTCTTCTTCATAAGGATTTCCGCCCCCAATTTTTTTTATCTAAATTACTGATTTTTAATAATTGAACATGACATGTGTAACATAATGGTTTGTGTTACGGATGTAATTAAATGTACACCACTCATACTCAAATCCACACAATGTATATATTGTTGAGAAAAAAAAAGAAAATCATTTTTACAGTTTTATGTAGATGTACACTCAAAACATCTTAAAGTTTAATATTTACCAATCATAGTTATTTTGATAATTTTATCATTGCACGTTAACTTTGAACTCTAGAAATAGAAGATTAAATTAGTAGTACACATGAAATCCAAACTAGCGTAGAATATGAAGAAGAAGAAAAACACGATAGTTTATAAGATTATTTTAATAAGTTATCTTAGACAAAACAAATTACATCTCCAAAGACACAACTTGAAACACTTGTAAGGATCCCCATGAGTACCGAGTAACCAACTAATCATCAAATATAAGGGAAACAATTAAAAGTGTTAACATAAATTGCAAAATAATTAAAAGTTGGTGCCGACTAAAATGGTTTGTGAAAATCAGAGATCGACCAAACAGTAATGAATGAAACTTTTATAACTTTGAGGTTCCGGTACATGCATAGAGAAATGGGTCTAAATAGGAAAGTGACACATCATACGCTTCGCCAGAAAAAGAAACTAAATATTATCAACAAGTTTGTTCTTATCAACATTGTATCAACAACTGAGTGATTCATGTGACAGTGTGTGTGTGTACACAAAAACATTTGAAACCTAGAGAGATGAACCATTAGCAGTAGTCAGTAGATGGTTGAGATGATTTAATGTGGATACTTTTGGGTAGATTAAAAGTCATATCCATATTCAATAAATTTCAGCATCACCCAACATGTACGTTACATTAACTGCACATGCACAGAATCAAATGCCAGTGTATTTACCAATTTTGGCATCGCTAAAGTTTTTCTCATTTTAGATGAAACTTTTAGTTTTTTCTTTTAAAATAAATACTATTCTCTCGTTCCAAAAAGTATGATATTTTGGCATGTTTATACAAATTAAAAAAGTATTATTTAGTTATCAATGCATTACTTTTTTTTAACAATTATTATTTTTTAATAACGGTTAACTAATTTAAATAATTTCAATTATTTTTTTTGAAATCTACAAAAGATATATTTAATACTCTAAAACATCATATTTTATGGAACAAAGAAAAAAACTAAAACATCATATATTTAGGAACAGAAAGAGTACTAGTGTTTACTCACATGGTCCAGCTTCAATTAATATGGCAAAATATGTCATGTTCGAAAAATAAATACCTATGACTATGCAATGCTTATGAAGTTCTGAGGCACCATTGAAAGATTACAGTCCTTTTTGGATTAATTTTTTTATGGAAATAAAAGAATTATACTAAACCGTGTGTACCATGAGAACCAAGAAAAACTCAAGTTATACCCGATTTCAAGTTCCGGTTTGACAAGATGAGAAAAGCCCACTAGAAACAAGATGAAAAGCTTCCAACTAGAAAACTCACAATACAATCAGTATGAAACATCTGTTCAAATCATGATATATGTGGTATCAAGCATCACTATATACACTTTAAACATAAATGAAAGAATTAGGAGAAAATTTCAGCTAAACCGGTGATAATGTCGTAGATTCTGTTATAACGGAGGTTCTATGCTTTCATATTGAACTTGATTTTCATTGTATAGAACTGTTTGAAGTTGGACCATTTGAGAAAGGGCAAAGAGAAAACATCTATAATAAAGATATTTTTGCATTGAAAAAATCATCCATACAATGGCTTCGTTTTAACCTGTTTGATATATATGGTAAGATCTTAGGTAGGGTTGAGAAATTTCGGAACGAAACTGAGCTGAACTGATCGAATGGAACTTTTAAAATTGGGTTAAAGCGTAACAATTAAAAGTTAAAACATTACATAACCATATATACTTTAAAGAGTTTACGTATCAAACATGTCACACAGACTATATATCACATACGTTATATATTAATACAACAATCATTGGACATGTAACATCATGTTCTTGAACTCTTCAAGATCAATAACACCATCAAGATTCTTATCATGAACCCGAATCATTCTCCCACAATCCCTAGTATTTGCCTCATCCTCAAACCCGAGCCGTTCCAACACCGTTCGAAGCTCCTCCGGCGATATATAGCCATCTCCGTTCACATCGAACACATTAAACGCCCTCACAATCGCTCCATCATCATCGACAACGTCACCGTTCTTCGTTCCTTTGCTGCTTGAAACGGTGTCGTCGCAGAACCGAAGGAATTCGTCTAAATCGAGGCTCTGTTTTCCAACGACCAGTTCGAGATCTTGGGGAGTGTGTTCGGAGCAACCGAGTCTCTCGAGAATCCAATGGAGCTCGTCGAGGGTCACGAGTCCGTCTTGGTTCTTGTCGAGCTTCTCGAACATTCTTCGGATATCGTTTGTGCTTATGAATGAACAATCCATATCTCTGTGTCTGATCAAGAGACGTGTCGTTTTGGACCTTTTGGTTATGTTGTGTGAAAAATGGGTAATCTGTTTCTGGAGAAAGTTTCAAGCTTGATCGTATATATATATATATATATATATATATATGATTGTGTACGGATGCGTAAGGTGTACTTGTGGACGGAAGAGATCGAAGCGGAGGAAATTTCCGCGAAACGGCTTCTCTGACAAATGAAGTTTCCAGAACAAAAGTCATTCTAATTTGACATTTATCTATTTTTTTGATATATATATATATATATTTTTTTGTCAACTATGACATAAACCTAATTGTCTATGACAAATGGACAGCTCTAATTTCTCTAACTCTGAACTCTGAATATTTTGTTATACTTGTCTAATTTTGCATCTTGTAAAATCAATTTAAAAAAAAAAAAACATTAGAATTCTTTGATGATTTTATCATTGCGAAGCGTACTATAAATGATACTTAGAACTTGATAGATAAATAGTATGTGCCAGATGTCAAGAGTGTGTTTGTTGTCTTAATATGATTTTTGACATATAGAATGTTCAGTAATGTTCTTGAGTTCCTTGGCATTATTAAGATGGTCCACATTTGTTAGACATTTATCACCGGCCACATACATTGGCATTGGCATTGACATTTTCGAATTGATTTTATCCGTGCCAAGAAAACGTCAATATTATAGTTTTAATGTAGATATTAAATAAGAGGAAAACTATATAGTCCAAAGCGTTATCATTCATCGCCAATTCCATCTATTTTTCAGTTTATGATAATACCAAAATAATGAACAAACTTCAAGCTGGTTTGTACAGTAGACATTGTAGTGAAAAACAGGACCTGAGCCCAATTTAGAATTTCGGGCCTTATTATATATTTTCGGCCCAAAATGAAAATATATAGTTTGTGGGTGAATCATAAATGAGAAGCGACAAAAGCTGAAACGCTCTCCTCTCGATTTCGCGCTTTATTACTGACTGACTCTACAGTGAGTTTACACTTGTCACTTGTCACTTGAAGTGGGAGCCATGGCGAGATCTACGATGAGAACAGTGAAATTTCTTTTTCTAGCCACTAAATTTAGGTTTTTTCTCGACCGAAACTGATTTTCCTCTCTCTCTCACTCTCTGGAGATTTCTGGAGATTGTAATGTAAGTGACCGATCTCACTCTACTTCCATTTTTCAAGATTTTTTTTAGTTAAGCTAAGTCAATTTAAGGAATCTGATTAGTGATTACATCCGTTTTTTTTTGCTGGTTTTGTGAATTTGAAAAAAAAAAAAAGTGACTTAAGATGCGAAATTCGAAGAACTCTGCTGCTGCAATGAGACCTGTGAAGGAGGAACCTATGGACTTAGACAATGACGATGAAGTGAGTGAGTGTATGATGGATACTGAGCAAACTGATTCTTCAACAAAGTCTGCCGATGCTAATCTCTCCAACATGCAACGGATTTTTCGTGCTGCTGCTGCTGCTTCTAACGATGATTTGGATACCAAAATTAATCATCCGTATATGATGTTGTTGGATAGTTTTAGAGAAGATGGAGTTTCATATCTGAGAGATAATCCGCTTAGGTCTATTAGGTATGATGTAGATAACGGAGGATACGACAAGCGCGGTTTCAAAGCGGTTCAAGATAAGCAGAGGAGTAGAGAAGATGGTAACACTGTTCGTGTGACTAAGAAGAAGAATGTTGAGCCACGACCTCGTGCTGAAGCAAGTACTAAGAAGACGACTAGAGAAGCGGGTTCCGTTTTAAGGCGAAGAGAGTGTCCCGTGACTGAGAAGAGTGTGAAGGAAGAGCTTATTACAAGTCTCGTGGAAAGAAACGCACAACACAATGTCGGAGCTAGCGAGAAGGAGATGTCGGAAGGAGAAGTGGTACCTGATGAGAATTACAGATCTCATCTCGCATCGTTAGTGGAGAAGTCGAAACGTTCAAGAACCAATCCTGACAAAGAGATACAAGTGAAGCGTGAGGAAGATGCAATGTCCATGTCTGGTTCAGACATTGTTGCGGTTCAAGATCGTCCGTTTGGGGATGAAGAGGATTCTCCGTTTGTGCCATCGAAAAGTTGTAAAGTGGTTGTAAGTATTTACCTTCATTCATCTTTGCTTCTTTTTTTTTGCCTCAAAAGACATTCCTCCTTTTATATTTCTTTCAAATTTTATGTTTTGATGTTATCTTTTGTTTTTGTTTAAAAGGATTTGGAAGAAGAGAGTGATGGTGATCAACCCAATTCTTGGTTTAAGAAGGAGATAATGAATGTTCTGAAGCAGCCATACAATGAAGAGGAGTACGATGAACTTTACGAGGAAGCATCAGTGCGTAGAGTGTTGACCAAACATGTGGAACTACGAGATGGAAGAGACTTTAGTTGTCCCACGGGTGAAAAGAAACCTTCTTATCTTGATTTGTATCCAAGTAAGTTACCAGACATAAGTTGGCAGCAAAACATGTTCTTTGAAGTTTATGCTTTGCTCAACTATCTTTTGTAAATAAGTTAATTAAATGATAAGGAGGCCAGCTTCTGATTCCAAACAACAACAAGCTTGGAATTTTATCTCTTAGAAAGTTAGGGAAAGTGTTCTTTACCTTCATGTTGAGTTTTGGTACGGTTTGATTTCACAGAATTCAAAAAGAAGATCCGGATGTTACATGAAACTAAGCGTGAAAAGGATCGCCGTATAGCTCTGAACCTGTTGCGCGGGTTTATCTTCTACTTAACGGTACTAAATGATATGTTTATTTGTTATTTCAATCCTTCTAACGAGTAAATATCATTTTGTTGTTCATTTGAAATTCGGTTACCCTGAAATTGTCTTCTTGCCACAGAGTTAGTTTGTCCATTGGGTCATTTACCTTCTTTATGTGATCTTGAATAATTGTTTGCACTGTGGATTAATCTATGGTTTGTTATTGTTTTTCAGAAAGTGGCTCGTCATGATGCATTTAAACCTTGGCTCAATCGTGAATGTTTGAACATCACGTGTTCCTGATAAAAGAGCATCAGCAAAATAAGTCACGTCCAATTTCATTTCCATGGGAAAAATAATTAGAATATGCGATAAGACCTTGAGATTGTTTCATGAAAATAAGTAGAGGGGACTTTGCTGTGTTATTTGTGTAATATTTACTTCATTATTGTGTAGTGTGGTTCATGACTCAATACTGGCCCTGTGGCTTCATGTTCCGTTATGTGATTAATCTCTATTCTCTACCATATGTGTCTTCAAGTGCAATAAAGTTTCCAAGCGAACTTATAGATAAGAGAAGAGAGAGACCAACAAAAACAAATGTATTCCAATCTTTGGATCATTTACAGATAAAATATGTACAATTCTTCTCTGTAGAACATATATCTAGAAGAGAACCAAAAAAAAAATGCTAACAGCTTCCTAAAAAGCTACAAGAGAAACGTATCAGAAGCCGTGTAGTTAAAAAGAGACAGCTTACCTTTGTACTCACCAAAAAGAACTGATACTTGCTTCTTACTGCATCAAAGCAACTGGTCTGATTAGATTGTATATTGAGAGCGGCGCTTCACCGTCACTGGAGATAGATTGCTCGGTGGCTCGATCACTGTTTTCACCCGTTTCATACTCGGGAGCGCCGAGGAATATGAAGTCGAGGCCTTCCATTCCCAAAACTTCACTGTCTGCAGAAAGTCTATCGACTACCATTGGCTCAGACTCTGAAAAGACTTTGTGAAGTGAACCGAAGTAACGCCCACGGGAATTTTTCTCTGATGGGTCGCTTGGTCTTTTCCTCTTGCTTCCTTTGCTTTGGTGCTTAGGGTGGTGGAGCTTGCATTTCGATCCTTGAGGGCATGATCCAGTGGCTTCGTATACTGGGCATGTGTAGGAATGCTTCTTCCGACACTGTTACCATTATATAGGGACAATCCGCAATCATACTTCATCAAGTGTTTTTAAGAGCGAATCCAGAGGGACAAGTAGAATATGTGACATAAAGCCAGAGAGAGAGAGAGACCTCTTCCCCTTATACTCGCTGTGGTATCAGTCAACTTAATATGCTATTGAAGTCAATAATATAGGATTGAGGTAGCTAAAAGAGTAACTATTATTGCATCAAGAAACTTGCATATGCATGTCAACAAGCAATAGATTCGCCAATTTCAAACCGTGCAATGTAGTCTAAATTGAATCCTTACCTCGTCTCCGTCTGAACAGTATCCCTTCAAAAATCCATCGCATATAGCGGCACTCGGGTTGACATGCACGTGCCTATATGGACATGCCTCGTTGTTGCATAGGCCTGCGTTATAGGTATTAGTATTGTGCGTAGCAGCAATGGGATCTTAGTACCGTGGAAATTCTTACCTTGAAGAAAATAAGAACAATCAGGCATCCTTTCTGGAATGACCTGTGGAGAACATAAGTTGAGCAGTTAGAGATTTCTGTGAAGCAAAATCCTCCAGCAATGACTTAGTAGGACGACCTTGTGAGTCAATTTGCAATTAGCATCGGCACACAATCCATTCAGAAATTTGGTGCAAACTGCAATTTTCGAGGGGTCATGAACATATGGACATTTTCCGTCGTCTTTGTTGCATTTCCCGAATCTTGTGAAAAACTGGCAGTACTTCTTCCTTTTAGCCAACCGCAACCGGGCATTGTGCAGGCTCCATCTCACTTTCTCATTTGCCAACGCACGAGTTCGTTTCTTTGGATCCCTGACAAGCTGGTTACCATTTCCCACACGAACATATCTGCAAAATGGAATTTAATTGTTCGACTGAGGCTCCAGAATGTTTGACTAAAATTAGAAAAAAATGCATGGACAATTACATACTCTTCATTGCCAATCACCAATCTCTTTGGGATGAACGGTCTTTTTGCACCTTTCCCATTTTCAGAAGGTCCAGAGCACGGTGAATCAACATCTGGTAAAGAATCATGCCTTAGCTCAGCAGAGATACATGAGACCAAGACTATCGAGCAACTAATAAAAAACTTAGCAGTTCCAAGCCTAGAGAGTTCTATTATCCGATCAAAACCTTGGTTGAGACTCATCAACCACCTAGACGGAGTGACAAGGATCTAATACATGTGTGTGTATGATCGGATCATCCATATCCCCATACAAAAAGAAACTCCAGATATTTTATAACGGATCACTAACGGACTTTCGTCCCTGCTCGACCTTTCTGTTTCCTACTCACACGAGCCCCATATTCTTGATCGGATCAAAGTAATCAGTCTTCGTATATCCAATGCCCATCTATAGACTACAATATCAAACTATAGCTTCTATGTGTGTTTTAACTTGAAGAAATATTCTACCAGATATTCTCTGAAGAGTTCGCCTAGAAGGGTCCATTTTATAGCGAAGGGAACCAAATCTGAAAACGCGCTCCCCTGAAAAACAGAAGTTGATCAGAAAAACCTTGAAGTTTGCTGAAACAGAGTCATCCGGGTATCTCAAGAAACAGCAAGAAAATAAACCCAAGATAAATGGAGTTGAAGCTTTGTACGAACTGGCCAGGAGGCCTTCCCAAAAATAGAATAATTCGTCCAAATAACTGGCCATGTATACGTATCGTCAACCAACTTACGTGCCAGATGGTTTCTGCTTGTCGTCCTAGTACTACTTTGTCCAGAATGCTTTTCACTTTCTTTCTTTGAAATTGCAGCCACAGCCAAGGTGGCTTCCTGTACAAACAGGGGAAATAAGAAAGTTGGCTACAACACTTTCAATCGTGGTAAAGAAGCAATTCTTCCACAGACAGGCCAAAGACACTTCAGTGAAAAAACTAACCTCATTAGCTTTTCGCGAGTCTCTCTCAATGGACTTGGACCATTTCAAATGCGACCCACCAATACTTAATACCTTGGATTTTTGAAGTGAATACCCATTGGTTGACCTTGTGTAAACCGTATGTCTCTTCCTCGTCATTGACAACTTTTGGCTGAAGGTCACAACGCCCTGTCATCAAGTTTGCAAACACAAAAGCAAAAGAGTTGCAGCTCAAGGAATATGAGTACATTAGATGCTAAATACCTGATGTTGGAATAAGAACCATTTGAGACTGAATTCATTAATCTTCTCCAGTATGTCACTCTTTTCCAAGGAACAAGTTGCGGCAAGATCCTCTGATAGCGCATGTGACTTGTGGGCAATATTGACTGTGGATCATTTTGCGTCCAAACCAGAGAAAATTTTGACCGCTTATATGGTCTCGTGACAGCTGCAAATAAAAAAGAGGACCAGTTACTTCATGTCTCGCATCTGGTTATGGGTGCAAAAACCGCAAAAACATATGCAAGTATATAAAAAGGGGAATCTGATACGCCTTTTTCCTCTACGAAATCCTAGACCATGGATTGTTTATTGCTGGAAGATGAAAAAGGAACAAGGCAAATCAAACCAATTATTCCATCTCCTTTTCCAGGAATAAACCATCCACTATATAGGATCTTCTAAAGAAACATGCATATTAGAATCAATATGGACATATTCCTGATAGATGCTCAAGAGCGTTGACAGATATTTACTTCAGTTTACATACCAGAGTCGGAGAATGCTGAGCTAGATGATCTTTCCGAAACCATGGTTGCAGCTGCTCGTGAAATTAATGCATCATCAGGTGAGTGATTGACACGGCTCTCTGAAGTCCTTACTAGCTGATTTTTACTTCGTTTGAAGTAGCCATCAGAGGTAGGAATCTGACTCTTGCCTGCACCATGAATATCTGAAGTTGCAATCAACTGATTTGCCTTCCTTTTGACATATACCATTCTCTTCAAATTTGAAGAATCCAATTTAGGAGGATTTCTCTTCTGCTGGCAGTCTGAAGCATAATCTATCTGAATTAGTGTGTTAGGTGTCTTGGATGTATCCCTAGCAGAGTGTGGAACATTAGCTTCTCCAGATGTAGCGGAATCCATGATAGACTCAGGTAAACTAGTGGTGAGGTGATCCATGCTGTAATATAGCGCACATTTTCCTGAAGAAGTAACGATGGCGTTTGATACTTTGGAGGTGCTGCTGTCTGAGGGAGGCTTTGACTGCCTCTCAAGAGTGGGTATTTCTCCTGATTTAACAAGAAAAGAAGCGTTACCTACATCAATCTTACTGGCAGATCCCGTGCTTTTGTCTTCGATACGGTTTAACTGGATAGCAGATGGAGGCAGTCCAAAGGTAACACCAGGATAACCATAAGAGGGTTTTCGAAGAAGGCTATTCCCTTTACGTAAGTAACTACTACTACGTTGGACAGTCACTATGGGAAGCTTCTGTTGTATAGGCAAAGTCGACGACAAAGGTTTGGCAGCTACAAAAGGAGAGGTAGAAGTATCGGGTTTTCGATGCCAAGTGTGACGCTTATTGGGAGGGTTAGCCTCTTTCTTAGTGCCAGACACAAAAGGCAGGGAACGGGGATAACTTTTCTGAGTAGAGTAATTGGATTTCTTTTTCCTCTTTTCTATTTCATACGCAGAGCTCGGAGATGTCTTACTTTGAGAATCCTGATCTGGCACAGATACTACATGATCTTTGACATGGGCCAACGCAAATGTAACATCTGGATGTGAGTGTGATCTTGACAGACGAACACCTAATTCACCAAGAACTTCAGCTCCAGAAACTTTTCCATCAGATGACAATGCTTCACCCTCAAATATATCAGTCCTAGCACTGTTCGGTGAGTATTTTTCTTGAAAGCCAGTCAGCTTCTCTATTGGATCACCATTTGGCTTCTCAACTAAATCACCACCAGGATGCTTTGACATGGGATGATCATAAGAATCAGCATATGCACCAGATGATGTTTTACCTCCGCAAGGATAATGCGCCAACGAAATACCTGGCTGGGTTACCACATGGGAGGTCATGTTTTGCTTTTGTAATTTATCTAAAAGAATATCTTCTTTTTGGCTCTCTTTAACCTTGTTAGCTTCATCAACCATAGCAGCAACATGAATTTCACTCCGTATCTGCCTGACGCTCAGCCTTGGTGAGCTGGATAACGAATCACATGGAAACACTGAATCCCCACTAACAGCAACAATGTCAGTTTCTGGAGTTCTGTACTTAGAGGTTCCACCAGATGGCTTTGTTTTCTCTTTATAATTGCTATCTTCATCAACCATAGAAGCAGTATGAATTTCACTCCGCATCTGTCTGTATAGCCTTGGCGAGCTGGATAGAGAATCGCATGGAACTGAATCCCCACTAAAAGCAAAAATTTCAGATCCCCGTGTTCTGTACTTAGAAGTACCACCAGAAGGCTTGGGTTTCTGTTTATCTTTGCATGTCTCACCATCTGTGGCAGCACCATGAATTTCACTCCGTATCTGCCTGAAGCTTCGCCGTGGTGAACTGGATAAAGAATTACATGGAGTCACTGAATCCCCAGTAACAGCAATAATATCAGTTCCCGGAGTTCTGTACTCAAATGCTCCACCATCAGGCTTTATTTTCTCTTCTTGAGTATCAACATCAATGTTCTCAGCACAATTATATTCCTCATGCATGATGCCACCTCGAGAATTACTGTAGTTAGCTTGAATAGATGTTTTGTTTTGTATCTGCTCATTCACTGCCACCAAGGGAGAAATGTGACATGGACTAACAGAACTATCAGATGCTAAGCAAGAACTAACCCTTGAAGGATCCTCTTCCAGATTTTTATCTACAGCGAGAATCCGGACAGAACCAAATGCACCAGATGATCCACATCCACGATGATCTTCAGGCAAGAACTTGCATACTGTTGAACCTGGTTGAGCTTCATGGAGACCAGATTCAGCATCAGTAACCGTTTCAATAGCAGCCATGCCATAAATTCCAATTGCAAGATTTGTTTTAGTTACCAGTGCAGCCGAGCTAGGTAAACTATCACAAGAAGTGGAATCCTTTTGGCTAACGTCTCGCTCAACAAGACACTCGCTTGAATCATCAGTAATATCTTTGCTCAGAGAAACATTTGGCTCTGGTAAACAAGATTTCAAACCTCCAATATTTGAACCACTTAACTGATCAACAGAGGAAATATTTGCAGGATGATGAGATGCTAAACCCAGATCTTCATCACGCACAAGTCTCTCGGCACTTACATGTTCCATACACACCTCAGATGGTACTGCCAAAGCTAAATCTGATTCATCAGTTCTCTCAACAGGTAGCGCAATTGATGATCCCTTTACATCGACCTTTGTAAGAGATGAAGAAGTACCTTTTACACAAGTCTGTTTACCTTCATCACTGTCCAAATTGTCAGCCATTTCTGCAGCATTATTAAGGGGCGTAGCTTCCATGGACTCCTTTCTGCTACCATTCTCATTCTCAACTGATGGACTGATCGTGTTTTCACTGTGAGTAAGAATTTTAGCTTCACTCATATCAGGTGACTTAACCATAGTATTGGTAGATGTAGCAACAGTAAAACTGTGAGCATTAGCAAGATCCCCTGAAAAATTATTACTTACATTAACAAGCTCCGTTGAAACATTAAAAATGTCCAGAGAGGCAGAAGAAACTAGATCCCTAGGGGAGTCACTTTCAGGAGACAAGGAATCTGCATTCTTATTGATCCCCTTGCTGTCATCTTCAGTACCACCAATATCTGACTTCGCAAACACCTGATCACCAGGGTCTGCGCCATTAAAACAGATGGATGCGTCTAGAGATGATTTCTCAAAATCTTTATCTACACAACCCAAAGATCCAATTGATGAGCCAGTGGATTTCCTTTCTTCAGACCCCGCATTTACCTCCATCATTGGTAAATTCCTTGATGGTGAACAATCCATATCCACATCTTCACAAGGTTGAGACCCGACACTACACATGGACTTACCAGCAAAACGCATTCCTGCTCCAGAACACCCAGAGAGATCAACGGCTGTTGACCATGATACAAGTACTTCAGTAGGAGACCTATTGTCCATCTCCATGACCTTCGGCAGAAGAGCTTCGCCAGCATTACAACTAGTGCCCGTTCTGTCCAACACATCTTCTTGAGTCTTCAGTATACTTTTGTCTCCATTAATAACAGCTTCCTCAGTGGAGCAAGCCTCCATATTGCTATCACGTTCGACATTAGAACCATCCTTGGCCTCTTCCAAAGCCTCACAAACACTAGAGATCTTTTCTGCAGGATGTACAGCACTGCGAACTTTTGATTCACTATCAGTAATTTCGGCTTTGCTGTCCTGAACGACACTATCAACTAAACTGACCTTGTTCATACCCCTAGCATCACTGGAAGACGGGATTGAGTGATTATCAGGTTTCTTTTCAATTTTAGATGCAATATTTTGCCTTGTAGATTGTCTGGAGCCTTCAGAAACCGACAAACGTGTTCTCAACTTTCCATTTCCTTCAATTACAGTAGCTTTCTCGCTTTTATCAGGCACCAATACCCTTCTGGCTTTACTAGACTTAGGTGTCACAGACCGGCCTGGGTGGATGCCTGCACTCGTAGGTGATGCTACTGGCTTAGCTACCAGACGATTCGATTCACATGAAACATCAAGATCCATTGGAGTTCTCTCCCTTTGCTTCTCCACTAATCCACGGTCAGAATGACCCAAGTGTTCTTTAGCGCTAAACGAGTTAGAGTTAAACCTTTTCCCACTAAAATTACAGTGATTACGAGCATTCTCTCTACCGTTTTGATGGGTTCTTGGAGTTTCAAGCCTCAGCAGAGCACTCTTCTTCTGCATTTGTATCCTGGGTGTTCGATTCGATTCCTTGCTCTCCTCTCTCCTTCCACGATCAAAATATTGTCCTATCCCAGAATGATAGTGGTCGTCCTTTTTCCGGGAATAGAGAATCCTCCCTCCATTACGCGCTTCATCCCACCTCTGGCTTCTAGTCCCTTCATGACTTGCTGATGACCTACTCATATCGCGACTCACTGTAACACCATATCGGTCACTGCCATAACCAACACGTGAAGATAAACCCCTATCTGCCTCATCCAAACCCCTCGAATATCTATCGGACTCTGCTTTCAACTGACCACGGTCTTGATAATTTCCCTCTATCCTAGTTGCTACAGATTCTTTTCTCACATATCCAAGATTACGAAACTCATCTCTAGACCTATAACTACCATCTAAACCACGACTGATGCTAACACCCGACGAATCCCTCGACGAGCGGCTGTAGTCATACTGGTAGTTACGGCCTGGGCTCGGATCCACTCGGCTTCTACCAGTCTCCATTCGTCCCAGACCAGCATCCATTGTCCACGAATCAACTCGTTTATCATTGTACCCAACCCAAGCAGACTCAGAGATATCTCGGGACTCCGTACATGGGATAGTAGATGACGACGGCTGCGAAACCCTTTGAGGCTCGTAGTTAACTTGCTGAGGAATGTATTGAAGACGCGGTGGCGGGTGATGTTGCGGCGGCGGTTGCTGTTGCTGGGAGTAGTAGGAAGACGGCTGGTTAACCGCCGGCTTGGGCGGAAGATCTTGGCGATGAGAGTAATGGTGGTAATCCTTACCCTGCCCACCGCTCTGGCTTGATTGAAAATAGAAATTAGGGCTCTCGGGATGAGATTGACGAGGAGGAGGAGGCAGCGGCGGTGGCGGCGGAAGGAGAGGAGCAGGAGGAGGATGAGAAGAGTAAGGAGAATTCCATTGGCCGTAGCTCGGGTTGTAAGGAGAAGAATCCATGGCTGATTTTGCCCGAGAAAATTTCTTCGACTTTTTTCAAAACCGCGTCTTCGTCTTCTTCTTGCTTTCTGCTGAAACGCACCCTCGCAACACGATAGCGGCGAGGATAGAATAATACAAACGAACAAAATTCCTGAATCGTGGCGATTTTGCGGCTGTCCTTTTTTTTTGTTTTATCTGTACGCAACTCCTTTTCCCCCTAATCTTATTGGGCCTTCGACTGAATTTACATTGGGCCGACTAACTCCGTTGGCTGAAACTGAATTAGTTCCACGAGGATTAAAATTTGTGTGCGAAAGAAAAAAAATAGATTTGATCAGAATAATAAGATCCGGGGACTAATTTGGGAAAATGAAAAGGGTATGAGTACAAAAATGGGTACATATCAAGAATTTATTTCGTCCCATCACGTTCCTTTCAAACGCAAACGAAACCTTTGAATAGGACAGGAATATAATTACGTCATCTATTACCACAGAGTGGCCTATATGGACTCAGTCACACATGAGTTGAGATAAGATTTTACTAAAATCTCTAGGATTGTGATAGGCACTATGAAAAAATATACATTTCTAATTTCTCGAATACATATATAAAATTGTATTTGAACAAAGATAATGTTAGATAATGACAGTGAGACACGTACGAGCATTACATGACACCAAGAAAATTCACTTTGATCCATTATTAGGATCAAGGAATACATATATTGCATGTCTATTTTTTGCCCCACAAAAGGCAAAAATTCAAAAACAGACCCCAAAACATTTAAAAGTTGCATTTATAACTATAAACCCAAGGGAGGGAGGAAGAGGCAATAAGACCTTTTCATATATACACTTCACACTCTCTCACACACACAAGAGTGTCTTCACCATCTTAGTTGAAGCTCGATGAGCGGCTTTCCCTGCCTTTAAGATAATCCTCCACGGAGATGACTTGCTCCATGCTTCCCATGGAGTGTGAGTCGTCCTCCATGTCCAGGAATGCTAAGTTAAGATGCGACTGTAGATTAGACCTATTCAATTTCTCGTCCTTGAGTAGCTTTGAATCCTCTAAACCGTTGCTAACTTGTTGCTTTGCCCACTTTAGCATCTCCTCGTCACCTTTTAGAAGATTTAAGACCTGCATTTTTCACAACACGTATCTTGTTCACAACCGCTATTACACGCATGTGCAAAATGTAGAGCCAAGATCTAGATGATGATGAGAAACTGACTCACCATTCCCATTTTTGGCCTAGATTGAGGGTTATGTCTTATACAAAGAGTGGCCGCTAACGCCATCCTCTCCACCTGGTCACCATTGTTGTCATGCTGTAAGCTCGGGTCTAATAACTGAGAATAATCTCTATCATCCAGAATTGGTTTAGCCTGCACGTGTAGTAGATACATATCTGTTTTTTTTAGCAGTAGCAGAGAAAGCTTAGACCTTTAAGAGCTTTGTGCCACTAGTGTATCCACATACCCACATAACAAGACTCTCTTGAGCCTTTGGAGATTCGCTGCTAATCGGTTTTCGTCCAGAAAGAAGCTCGAGGAGTACAACACCGTATGCATAGACGTCTATCTTGTTGTTCATCTTACCATACATAAAGTACTCTGGAGCCAAGTAGCTGCACCAAGAAAAAGAAACGTATTAGACAACTTTCACACAACAACAACATAATTTGATTTATTGTCTTTCTCACCCGAAGGTGCCTGCAACATCGGAGCAGATTATCTGAGTTGTAGATAGAGACGCCCACTTTGCAAGCCCAAAATCAGAAAGCTGTGAACAAGATCTCCCTTCTTAGTATCTTAAGACTTATTCTCTGAATGACAGGTTATGAAAACACAGAAAGAAACTTACCTGTGGCTCAAAATCATCAGACAACAATATGTTTGATGACTTGACATCTCTGTGAATGACAGGTTGTGGAGCACTGTCATGCAGATACTCCAACGCCTCAGCTATTCCCACAGCCACCTTATATCTCTCGTCCCAGCGAAATGCAACCGGATCTTTCTTGTTTCCTGAATTCGAACCATGCATTGTTAAAATCAGAAAATATTAAGAAAATCTGCAATGGTGGCTAAAACACCACCAGAGGCTTACCGTGAAGATTCTCTTCAAGGCTTCCTCTTGAGAGATAGTTGTATACCAGTAATAGGTTATTGTTTTCAAAGCAATAACCTAAGAGGGTAATAACGTTCTTATGGTTTAAGGTTGTGATGATGTCAATCTCTGCCACAAAATCCTTCAAGACGCCTTCGGTTTGCTTGAGAATTTTCACTGCAATCTCTTTTCCATTGGGCAGATAACCTCTAAAAACTCGGCTGCTACCTCCTTTTCCGATGAAATTATCTGAAATGACATTTGCTTCTCTTAGTTAGACAAAAGCAAACTGTACAAGAGTCTTAGAAGTGTATTTTTTTTTGTTTGTAGCTCATCTGAGAGGAGAGAAACAAACCAGGACAGAAATTAGATGTCACTGACACAAGCTCCTTGTACTTAAAAGACCGGCAAGATGTGGAGAACCTCTCATGAAGACTCTCTGGAAATCTTCGTGTGATATTATCAGGAGAACATTTCATGATCACAGAGCCATTACCATCAGGAACAATTGCGCGGCTTTCAGCGTTTAAGCTAGACAACTTATTATCATCTTCAGATTCAGAAGAATCAATCTGCTTAGTGTATTGACTTCCAACAATAGAACTGGTCCTGGAGGGCAGCTTCAGCACCCACTGGACAACTGGTATCTGTCTGAACGAAGAACTTCGCGGAACATTAGCTAATACATCCGAAGAAGGTACACGACGAAGCAAAGGCCAACCTGGTCTAAATTCAGGCAGTTCTTTCACCAGCATCGTCATGAATCTCGTCAAATCTTCTTGAACTTTCTCTGGCACAGCCGCCATTGACTTGTGGAATTCAGCAGTATCATCTTGGTCACTATCGTATCCATTGACACTAGAAACAGAGCAGTTCCCAAGACAGGAGAACACTAAAGCCTGACGTAGACTCTGGCCATTGGAGTGAACTTCATTCTCCGCCTCATTTTCTTCCTCTTCGGAATGGATACCTACTTTGGTATTCTTTCTCAATGTCACAGGCATTTGAAAGAAGCCAGACAAAGTGTTCCTACGAGCATCGGTTCTTACTGTGACAACCAAAGCCGAAGAAAGAACACACAAAAATCATCAACATACAAAACTTAGAAAACTCAAAGGAAGAAAAAAAGAAGAAAAAGGCCAAACCTTTAGAGTGATGAGTGATCGATGGGGAACCATCTTTCTGAAACATGACTTTCCCGCTGTCGACGGCAAGAACCCAGCAATCTTTCGGTAGTTTCCTGGCTAAGTACTTAGCCACGGAGACAGATGAGTGAATTGTGTGGTAGCTTTTTGAAATTCCAACTACAACTTTGGACGCATCACACAGTTTTGTTTCTCCAGCTAGAGTTTTTCGAGTGGAAGAACCTCTACTTAACTTCAGCTTCAACTCCACCTATTAAAAAGAACTCAACTTTCTGTCTAAGTGATCTCTTCAGAGACAGAAGAAAAGATGACTAAAGGTGTCCACTTTTTTAATATTACCTTTTTCAGTTTGCAGAAACCTTCATATACTTCAAGAACAGAGTCAAAAGTTTTAACATGGGAGATAAGCGAAGAGTTGCTTGCCCGATCGGCAATATCTACACAAATCCAAGTCGCGAGAGATAACATAAAAACTCATTTCCCAAAAACGTAGCTTTTTTTAATGTTTGTACAGTAAATCTCAGACTCAAAAAACCAAAGAGAAACAAAAATGTGTTACCATTGGTGAGAATATGAAGAGCGATTACGGTATCACCCGGTTCAGCAACCTTAACCAAAGCCCAATCGAGCAGCTCACTGCTCGACGCATCGAACTTCACGCCCACCACAACCGTACGACCACCTCCTCCCGTAACGACGCCGTTTTGCGTCATCTCTCTGTCTCGCTCGCTTCTTTATCTCACTTCTCCAGTTTTCTCGAAATGGTTTTCTGGATTTCAGATGAATGCGCTGTATCTTTTCCTGAAGTGTGATTCCTGGAGAAGCAAGATCATCGTAATGATTATATGCCCACGAAGAAAATTTCTGTTCTCTCTCTGCCTCTCTTGTGGCTGTGCCGCTTTGGTTTTGCAGCTTCTCAGAAAGAGAAGAGTGAGAAGAAGAAAGGAGGAGCAGACATCTTAGAATTTCATTTTGTTGCCATTGGATAATAATATCTTAATACATTAATATCATTTTGGACTAAACTCTTGGTAAAATTAATTCCCTTTTTCTTTTTTTGATAAGGATTCCCTTTTTTTTGACCAAATAATTTCCTTATTTTTAATTCTCCTCTTTTGCGTCTGTGAAGAAATTTGAAGTATTACAGTCAGAAAATTAATTTCATGAAAACACAACTTAATTTTGACCAAAAAGCAAACGAACCTCATTAATTTTACCGCGTATATAGCAAACCAGTCAGTAAACATAAACGTATTAAATACGGCATGTTCCACCGTTATAGACTGTATGTATAACAGTATAAATGAGGGGACAGTATATATATATAAATCATAAATATACATGACTTTTTGAAGATAAAGAATTTTCATAAATATATTTGGATTTATTCCTTTGTTTTATAGTATGATTCACTTTTTTTTTTATTGTTGTCGTCAACGATTCATTCATTCCTTGTCTATTGTTTGATTCTTATATTTAATGGCAGGTTGACGATTCAAAAGATAAGTAGAGAAAAAAAAATTGCAAAAAACGGGTGACCTCAAAAGGTAAGGTTATACTACTTTATAAGCTTTATAGTTTATTGCACGTACCTTATAGTCCTTTCTCGTTAATATAATTCCATTTTGAGTCTTTGACCAATGCCCTCTCACGCTAATCTTCTTTTATTTTACCTTGCAGTTCCTTTTTAATATACGTCAAACGACAAAAGATAATTATATTCAATGAATGTGCTCATCATTTTCAAAATCAATTGGATTCGGTTACAACGTGCTTAAATCCTTTGACTAGATAGACTTGTTTAGAAACCGAATCCACATTCCACAAAAATATTGAGCATATTCATGGTATTGTAATACAACTATTTCCATAACTCGATCAAGGAATTGTGGGTGTTTTCTCTTTTCTTTTTGGGGTTTTATTTTTGGCGTGACGTTCGAAGTAAATACAATTATTGTAACTTAAAGGTGCGACTGTGAATAAGGTAGTTAATGTTTGGTCACAGAATGGGCAGATGGAACCACCCACACTACATTGAAAGCCCCTTGTCGGCGTCTCTGACAAATGTCATCCCACTCATGTGAGTGAAACCTAACCGACCAAACAGAGCACCGTACACGTGTCGTCTTTTTGGCGTCATCATAGACTAGACTACATCGATGTTAGAATAACAGAATACCTGCCTATGAAACCTATAGGAACTTATATGATATCACATATGCTAATTAAAGAGGCAAACAAAGGGGTTGCTAACACAAATACGCAAGTCCTAGAGGAGTAAAAGTTTGTGAGGAACCACAATATTCAACCACATGAGTAAGGAACTACTAAAAACCATACACGAGTAAATCTATGTAGAGACCAAACATGTCATTACACACAATATTAAGAGAGAAAACACCTTTGAAACGCCTCAATTGCAAAAATAATGAAATAGTTGTTAAGTAACAATGTGCATAAACTAGCTTCTCTAGTTAATCCATCAGTCTGTTGCATCTACACACTTGTTCTAGAGCTCATATCATCTAATAACGCATTCGACTCTGTAACTAGTGAAGAACCTGAGGTCAAAAAAAAAACATTTTCTACCATGGAACAACACATCTTTGATCCTCCACCATATCATTGATCGGCATCACCTGCTCTCGTATGCCATCTCATGAATACACACCCTTTATGGATAAAGAAGAAATTTCACTGATTTGTCGTTGTTTCTGGTTTCTCTCCCGTTTTTGGTTTCAGAACCAATTCGAGACACTGAAGTCTCTTAGCTTTCTGAGATGTTTCTCCATGTCTTCTCGGGTCTTGGTCCACTCTTCCCTTTCGATTACCGTTGTCGGGTCATCTCTTTCCCCCTAAACATAGATAGAAGATGAGTAAAGGCAGGTAAACGGAATAGAAATGGGTTGTGCCAGAACAAATGAGTGTGGAAATGGAAAGCTTACCACGTGTATGATTTTAAAGGAGTTTCCATTATCGCGTATCACAAGCAAGTCATCCTTCCTATCCCTTTTTCTTCCTCCCGGAACTGTCACCTGAAACAATCTAAGCCTTAGTATGGGAAGGGAGATTGACTTAGGTCTTAGCAACTTTGAACAACGCATGGTATTTTCAAGAATTCACAACTCACGCTATGTGATTCAGAACTAGAGGCATATGTTGCACTAATATAAGCCAGCATGTAACAGCACGAAACATATTCGGCTAATTAGCAAATGTTAAAACACATAAAATATCCAATTGGCTACAATCTACGGTTGAAGTTTGAGCTTAGACTCGGAATGAGAACTTGTTAATAATGACTAAATAAAGTGGAAGGTAAGAATCGGTCATACCAGAACTCTGGCTCTGGTGATTGACTTTGTCTTGGAATCAATGACATAGATTTCTTCAAGATCTAGCACAAATTCTGGGTCGTTTGACCTTCTGTTCCGATAATGCTTTGTCAAGAAAACCTGCACAATGTGAATCAACATGATGAAGGCATTAGTATAAGAAGTTTCGAAATGATGTCATCCTTGATGCTTTGGATAACATATTTCCTGGTGTGTTTTAAAGAAATGTTGCCCAAATTAAAGAATCCCTGCAACATCAATGCATGGGACCAAAATGTACCTTGGATATCTCCCTCTCAGATTTGTACAGTGGATCTCGAGGAGCATCAATAGGCGGCTCAGTGACATTGTAACATCCATAGTCACTCATTGCACAACGGATATACTGTACTTGTAACATCATTAAGCAAGCCGATATTAGCACCAGCCAAATTACTGATAAATAAACCGTGGATGTAAAACGTGACAAAGATCAAACGCGAAAGAGAACAAAAAGGCCAGAATGAAAGCGAAAGTGATTGATAAAACATCCATATTCTGTATTTCTGATCAAACTGAGTGGTGGAAAAAGCTCTTAATATATTATATACTGGCACTTCTAGATTCATTTGTTCAAAATCTCAATCTATCATTGTGCTAGTAATAGTTTCAAACAAAAAGCGAGCCCTGTGCATAGAAGATATCATATCTAATACAATTAACAGATAGAATGAAGTGTGATTTCAGGAGAATGGGATTAATTAGCAATTGAGCACAATTTGAAAAGCAATTATCTGGTGGAAACAGAGAAATCTGAGAACAAAGCAGAAGCATTTTCAAAAAAACTACAACCGTTAAGGATAAATGACAGACCTTTTGAGGCATTGGAGCAAGAACTCTCGGAATTGAGTAAATATCTGTATCCGGAGGAGTAACATACATCTGCAGCACACAGAAAAACGCCGTCTATAGTTGAAGAAATTGGACCCAGAAACCATAGGGAATTCAAACTCAACCAGAGAACTCACATACCTCCCTGAAATCATAAACATCGTTATCAGGATCAGGCGGTTTCCTGATAAAGAAATCGCAGTCGAGCAAGCTGATTTTGTGGAACTCGTCTTCATTTATCCGGTAATCCACCACCATCTCCGAGTCCCATCCCTGCGTCGATATGAAGCTCTTGCTCTTCACAAATGCGATGTCCCCGTCACCGGCACCGCCGCTCGCAGCGGCCATCGCGGCGGCCAAGGGGTCGTACTCCACGTCGTAGTCCTTCTTATTGTCCACTTCTTCCACTTCCTCGTCATCCATGTCGTATTCGTCTTGTCCACCGCCGTCGCCATCGACGTCGTCCACCTTGACGATGATTGAACGGCCGCGGCGGGATTTGAGTGTTAGAGGCGCGAAGCCGCCGTCGGTTCGGTAGGAAGGAAAAAGCCGCTGCGTGGTGGCGGCGGAGGAAGACGGAGGAGGCTTCGAAGTGAAGGAGAGTAGAGATAAGGAGGGAGCAGCGGCGGAAGACGCCATCGGAAGGGGATAAAGCTCTCTCGAGAGTGTTTGTTGTAACTGTGGATTAGATATTTCGCCAAATAATACAATTAATTAAAAAAAAATAAAGGACCATTTTTGAGAATAAAACAACAAATATAAACAAGGGAAATATTAGGAGCATTCTTTTGGGTATCCCGCGCAACTTTCTAAAAAAAATTCCTTTCTCTCCAGTTTCAGTCTCTCGAGTCTCCTCCACATCGATCCTCCGATTCCACTCTCCCGATTGATGTACAAATCGCGCCGTCTCGAATCCCGGGTTCTGTACATATTGGACCACTGACCCGACCCGACCCGGATCACTGATGTCGGAAGTGAAGGAGATGAGTGGGGGTTCTACTGGCGGCGAATCGTCGAGGGCCTCGCCGAAGGTCTTGACGGCCGGTGATCGGAAATTACTCAAGGTACAGCTCCGTCCAGGTGATACGACGTATGTGTCGTGGAAGAAGCTCATGAGGGAAGCTAGTAAGGTCAATGGATCATCGGCTTCGGCTCCCGATCCGCCTCCTAATGCTAACCCTAGCCTCGAGTCTCGCCTTGCGCCGGTGAGTTAGCCGTTATACGAATATACTCTGATGGTATACGCGTAGGCATTTGTCTGCGGTTTTCGTTGCCGCGATTTGATCAAGCATGGTATTGTTTACGGGAGCTTGATTTCATTTCCGGGTGTTTATTAGGGTTTATCCAGAAGCTTTGCTAAATTTACCGATTTTTCAGATTTGTTTTTTGGGGAAAATGCTTGACATGGATATATGGGGTAGGAGGAATCCTGTTTTCATTGCCCTCTGACGTCGAGTGTCTAGAGTTCAACAAGCAGACTACTTACACGGGCAGATTCTAGAACGTGATGTATGATATTTGGCTGCCTTTCTTGTTTGCTAGCTAGATGATAGTACGGTACTAACTTCATCGTTGTCGATGTGAATATGCCATCAATTACACTTGATCTGGAAATGAATTTGGTTCAGTTAGTTGCAATGAAACTGTAGCTGTATTAGTGAAGGATATATAGAAAGTTGAATTAGAAATCTACTAGAACAAGGATTTAGGCAGTTAAAGCATATATTTAATAGTGGATCTTCATTTGAAGAAGGTCGATGATGCTTGCAGCTTCCTCACAATTTGTTCTTCTTTTGCATACAATATGGGTTCAAAATCATTGACGACAGCTGTATTTCCCTTACCCAATGTAGGGGCATCCAGCAGAAACTGAAACAACCGAGCAACCTCATTCTAATCGTTTCAACGCTGTTATTGAGAAGATAGAGAGGCTCTACAAGGTATGCTCTGTATCACTATTCTTGCATACCATGTGTTATCATTGTTAGATGTTTGATATTTTACATTGGCAATATTTTGCATACCATGTGTTATCACCTTAGAATTCACACATCTCTGAATAGTGTATACTTACTTTAGAAAATAACTTTCAGGGAAAAGATAGCAGTGATGGGGAAGAGCTAGACGGTGCCCCTGACGATGATGAGTATGACACTGAAGATTCATTTATCGATGATGTTGAACTTGTTAGTGTTTTTATCTTTCATATGTTTTTATTGGGAAAAGTGTTTTTTGATTAGCTGCGACATTATATATTATGTTTTTTTAACTCTACTCCCCGCAGGATGAGTATTTTGAAGTTGATAATTCAGCAGTTAAACATGATGGATTTTATGTCAATAGAGGAAAGTTGGAGCGGATGTGAGTTTCTTTTCTCCTTTCATTTTCTTACACATAAGTCTGTGGTAGTCTTATCCCTTTTGATTTAGTCAGATCATGTTTAATATGGGCAATGCGTGTCATAAGTTTGAAATCATACATATGAAATCACACCGTGCTTGCTCCTTCTTCTTTAGATATCTGTAGTTTCTCCTAAGGGTAGTAATAGTAGGATCCTTATGCTTGGCAGTCTTGCTACTGCCGTCCCTAACATCTGTAGGGTGATTGGTATGGTAATGTCGATACTTTCGACTTTTCAGACAAATACCGGTTAAATAGATTAGGTTCTGATTTTTGATAAGAATCCATTTCGCATAAACATGCTATAGTCCATTTACCTGTTATCTAATATTTGATTATTATTTACCACAGGGAACCTTCGACAACATCTATCCAACAACCCAAAAAAAGGCGACGGAAAGATTCAGCAAATTCCTTCAGTGATACTGTTGACGTATCCAATAAACAAACCAAGTTGTCTATAACAGCTAAGCGAAAGGTAGAACAACTGCTTGCAAATATCTACTGAATGCTTTTCCAAAGTTTGGGTCCGATGACTTATCATGTGAATGTGGAAGTCCAGGATCAATCAACTGCTTCTGGGTCCTCATTGAAGAGAAAGTACAATGTTGCAAGGACAACAAAGGAGTCACCTTCGCCTTTCGGATCACAAAATGCGAACGCGTCATTGTCTCTGGAGGATGTTAATAATTCTGATAAAGCAAATCATCAGTCTAGGAATGCAACAAATAACAAGTCAAAGGAAGCTGGAGCCTCTAATGCCCTTCTTCAGAAATACAGTAACAAAAGTTTACAACAACAATCTAGTTCCCTGCCTGGAAAATCTCCGCTTGCAGAAGCAACAGTAGTCCGTCAGAAAGAAAACAATGGTATACATGACTTGGCAAATGCACCAGGAAGTAGACGCCCCATGCAAGCAACGGTATGTACATTCCAACTGTGTCATAAGTACAGAAAATTCTCTCTGTTTAGTTGGGTTGGGTTCTGAGGTAAACATGTAAAATTGGAGTCTGTCATCTGTTACATCCCTATAATGATTTCTGTGATCTTCGAGACTGTATTATTGGAAAGATAAAACTTTGAGATTAGATGGTATCCATGTGCCTGGCATCCATTTAAGGTTGTTGTAGTAGTTTCTTGCCCTAGCTTTCATGTTGGTTCTGGATTAATTTTCTGGTTAATTTTTTCTTCCAGCATTTTTTACCACAAATTCGACCTCAGGCTCATTTTATAATTCTGCAATAAACTGTATCTACTCAGAAAAAATATGGATCTAATGTGAAGTCTAAAACCTCGACCCTTGAGAAAGCCATACGGGAATTAGAGAAGGCGGTTGCTGAATGTGAGTTTCAATATTTTGAGGTTCTTATTTTGGACATGGAGGATCAAGTAGAATAGTATTGGGTGACTTTAAGCTTTATAATAATTTTATGAATTATTGCAGCGAGGCCTCCTGCTGCCACTGAGAATCCAGAAGCTGATACCGCATCCCAGGCAGTTAAGAGGAGATTGCCAAGAGAAGTAAAATTGAATCTTGCTAAAGTTGTTAGGATTGCGGTACTATAGCTTTCCTATTTGCTTTTCTCATTTTGTCGAAACTTGAAATGGTATAAGAAACACTAGAATGCTCTTGTCGCAGCAGGCAAGCCAAGGAAAACTTTCGACAGAGTTAATAAACCGTCTTATGAGCATTGTCGGTCACTTAATACAGCTTAGGTCACTTAAGGTAAAATTTTCTGTCCTGCATACTGAGTCTATTTGATAGTGGAACGGAGTTTTTGGGATTTCTTCTAAGGCGTTTAAAATAGTTAGAACTTTTTCAGCTTCCAGTTGAAAACTCTTTCGTTCCAGATGAACGCAGACAATATATGAGTTTTATAGAGGAGCTGGAAGTCTTACTATTTGTAATGCTTAATGTTGCAGAGGAACTTGAAAATCATGATTGATATGGATGAATTTGCAAGCCGAGAAAAAGATACTAGGTTCCAGCGAATCAACAATGAAGTTCTTGAGATGATAAAAGCTAAAGTTTCTTTGATGGAATCACAGGTTTTCTTTCTTCTAGTCTACTAATTGTTTCGAATAGACACTTGTTTAATCCATTGTTTTCTTATCTTATTACGTTCTTAAATAACTTTTTTTTAGATCTAGAGTTCTGTTTGATAATGGTTTTCCGTAGATTAAGCTCCTCATTTTTCTGTTTTTAGTGTTCCCTGAGGGTCAATCTGCTCTTTGTAGCGTATCCCCCTACTATTGAAATGTTGCAGCTGTGATACTATTGAATATTTCTTGGCTTCGTGCACTAACATTTTTGGTTGCACAGGCAATCAAACAAGAAGTTGGAACATCAGACGATTTTCAGGACTCTGTAGAAAAGACATCTTCAAAGAAGTTTGTCATGGATGCGGCACTGGAGGATAAATTGTGTGATCTATATGACATCTTTGTTGATGTAATTATGATTTACTTTCGATTATCTGCCATGCCAATTCCTTTAGACCTACAGTTAGTGTCAACACGGTTTTGTTCCTGTCTTTTTGGTGCAGCAGGGATTGGATGAAGATCCAGGCCCACAAATAAGAAAGCTGTATGTCAATGTAAGTTCTTCTTCATTTCCAATACCCTTGTTAGATTTGCTTCAGGGTCTTCCCAAAAGTTCAAGGTGGTTTATTTGAGCTTCACGAATATTCTTTTTGATTTCTTCATGCTCCAGCTTGCTGAACTCTGGCCAAATAAATTAATGGATAATCATGGGATAAAGCGTGCGATTTGCCGGGCAAAAGAGAGGCAGAGAGCACTGTATGGGAAGGAGATGGTACTTAAAAAGAATAATTCTCAGCTTTTTCTTCGCGGCATTAGTATTTTTCTCCATTTATTTTGCTTGAGTATATCCTGCTTTTATTAAAGGATCAACCGAAGATGAAGAAGAGGAGGAAGCAGTTGGTACCAAGAACAGACTGGACTGCTCAGCAAAACACGGATTCAGTTGCTCAGAGACAACACAGCGGAGATAAACCGAACGCAACCAGCACTTCCCTGGCCCTTAGTCAACCTATAGCTGACTCTTCTCGTGACAGATCAAATCAGCCGAATGAGAAGCTCAAGGGAAGCTCAAGCTCTTGCATTCCTGCGGAAGAAACAAGAGTGGCCAAGAGAAAGACAGAGCCAGTGATGGCAGAGAAACAAGTCGTTTTGGCCTTGAAGAGGCCGGAGCATCCACCGGCACGTGTTATTGCACCTCCTCAGAATCTGAGCGTTCCAGAGACTCCTCTGGATCTGAACCTGCCAAGTTGAGTTTCATGAAGGTTGTCTGAACTCTCTCTATCTCTATCAGGTGGTATTGCATTAGTTCCAGCGATATCGATGCTTGGTTTCCGCACCGGTTAAACCTGGTTTATAAATGTTGTATGTGTTCTGTTTTGGTTTAAATTCACCAACACGCAGCTTATATCTACGTGTATTACCTTCCACATGTATGTAACAGATAAAAGTCTAATGTATAAAACGATTTTTTAAGAGCGGTTCTTTTTACTGTTGATTTTTCGGTAAATAGTTGAAAACTAGATGGAGCATATCAGGCGGATCTTAAACATTATGTAGAATTGACCCGCCAAAAAACAATGATGTAATAGTATGAACAATATGATTTGATATCTAATTATCCAACGCATGAGTTTTGTAAGCAAATTCCTAAAAACTGTCTACAACGAGGAAACTGTAGGAATTGAATTAGAAAAGAAAAACTATGTGACGAACAACTTCCAAATATAGAAAGAGAGTTAGATCTCATATTCATAGTGTTTGGATTGTTATCATGAAACAAAACGTTGTGGGAAATTATGACACCTCTAGACGAATTCCACATACAGTATAGATCTGACGTCTGTTGTTGCTACGGTAAAAGAAAATGCAGATATTTTTATTTTTTTACATCAAACTCTGTCCGTAGTATATATAATTTGCATCTCGAGGTTCTTATACGATTTTATAAAATAACATTTTTATCATAACTTTCCCAAAAGCTTCTCTTCCATCGCTGTACCGGTTTCCATCTCAAATCCCGGGAAATTGAATTGTTTCTCTGTCGGAGAATCATCATCGAGACCTCTGTTATCTCTCTCCGCCTCTCGTGGCCGTCCCTCCCTCTGTTTACCTCTGCCGATCCCATTTCTCCTTCCTTTCCCGATGCGGTTGTCTCTCTCCCACTGATCTACGATTGAGCTTGGTTAGCCTCATGAATTAGGGCTTTTCTACGCATCTTGTATGCGGAGATTGGATCGCGCTCTTCTGTGCTTTTTGATGCCGAAAACTTCTAGACACTGTCTTCGCTGCTAGATTTCGGATCATCCTCCGTTTTCAAATGGCAGCGCCGAGGCCGACGGGGAGCCAGGATCTGTTCGATACGTATTTCAGGAGAGCAGATTTGGATGGAGATGGTCATATCAGTGGAGCTGAGGCTGTCGCTTTCTTCCAGGGCTCGAATTTGCCTAAACACGTCCTTGCTCAGGTTCTTCCGCGAAATCTGAACCTATTTTGCTCTTTCGGTTGCAGTATTTTGTTTGATTGTTGCGAAACGGTGGAGAATAGTTGTAGTTCCTATAGGTTTTGGATTGGATCTTTGATCTGAGGGGGTCGTTGGTAGTAAAATGTGACGTATTTTGTCAAATTGTTTCTCTCCCTGGTGCTTGCGAGACCTCTAAATTCATTATCCAATTTTTATCGGAGAACTCATTTCGATCTCGACATATTCTGGGCTGAGAACGCTTGTAATCTGTACTGCACTGTTATTATTAGATTGGCACATCTGGTTATACGATTGAACTGATGCTATCAGATATGGCAGTGTGTTTTAGTGGATACGTTTAGGTTATACGTCTTCTTTCTATTAGGGAGTGAAATTTGAATGCATATTAGCTTATTGAGTTATAGTGAAGCAAACTAGATGTATCTATTTGTCTGTACCGTGCATATGCTTAAAACATTGCATGCAATGAGGAAATTCTCCATATCTAATTTTTATAAACATATGTTGCTTGATTGTAGGCAGATTCACTTGGATATAAGCTATTTCTGAGTGTCTATTGTACAATTATTCTTTTGATTGTTAGTGTTGTAACTACTTTTTTTTTTTCCTCCCTTGTAGGTATGGTCTTACGCAGATGCAAAAAAGGCTGGTTACCTTGGTCGAGCGGAGTTTTATAATGCTCTGAAGTTGGTAACTGTGGCACAAAGTAAACGGGAATTAACTCCTGAGATAGTGAAGGCTGCAATATATAGTCCTGCTTCAGCCAGTATCCCTGCTCCCAAAATAAATCTTGCTGCAACACCCTCTCCACAGCCCAGGGGAACTGTGCCTACTACACAAGCTCAGGGAGTTGCATCATTGCCATCAGTAGCGGCTGGTATGAGAGGACCTCAAATGGGTGGAACTGTAAGCACTAGTAACCAACAAGTAGTCCCAGGCCAGCAGAACCAATTTACTGGGCTGCCTCCATCTCAACCACAGCAAAACTTTCAAAGCCAGGGTATGCCAGCTGGAGGGACTAATGCACCTCGTCCTGCAAACCAACCCATGCCATCTGATTGGCTTAGTGGCAGAGATGTTGGGCCCTCTGGGCAAGTGAATTCTCAAATTCCTTCGAGTCAGGGTGCATATGGTTTGACAGCACCTAATTCAACTGCCAACCATATACCAAAACCGCATATGACACCTTCAGTAATAAGCTCTACGACAGCCAGACCTCAAGAATCAGCGCCTGTGCACAAGCCCCAAGATCCATTTGCTCCTTCAGGGGCTCGGGCTCCAGATTCTTCATCCAATCAATTGGTAGCCAAGGATGCGGCTGCATCAGGAAACGGGTTTCCCTCTGACTCACTTTTCGGAGATGTGTTTTCAGTTGCTTCCACGCAGCCAAAACAGCATACGACGGGAACTACTATGGCTCCTGAGGTTACACAGTCTGTAGTTAGGCAAAGTTCAATCCCACAACAGGGTTCATTGAGCCAGCATCATGTTGGTGTTCAGAATCAGCTTACTGGAAATTCAGGGCAGCCAATTGTTTCCTCCGGTGCAGCTTCTGGTACAACTGGCTCCACTGTTGGAGTTGGAATTTCTGCATCCAGTCAGTTGACCCCGCGTCAGTCCCAACCCCAGCCCCAACACCAACACCGACACCAACCCCAACCCCAACACCAACACCAGCCCCAATACCATCCCCATCCCCAACACCAACCCCATCCCCAGTCTCCAGCCCCTTGGCCAAAAATGACTCCAGCTGATGTCCAGAAATATACAAAGGTTTTTGTGCAAGTTGATACTGATAGGGACGGAAAGATCACCGGGCACCAGGCTCGGAACCTGTTCACAAGTTGGAAACTCCCACGAGGTAGGCTACATGTACTTTTTTGCTGCTTCGTCCGTTAACGGTGGTTTTATTTTCAGTTTGAGCTTACTGTTCTAATGGTGAACGGGCATTATAGTTAAGTGACAATTCAATAGTTCTGTATATTTGTTTGTACAGTATTGATCAACTGCCATTTTTTGTTCATCTTGCGTATTTCATGTTTTGGTCCACGTGTAGACTATGTGTCGATAGTGGTCTCAATATTGTCTCAAGCATGAATTGTTCTAATTGCCATGGAAAATATTGAAGACCGTTTTATGTGTTTCTCAATGCTATTCCTTGGTATTGCAGAGGCTTTGAAGCAGGTATGGGATTTATCTGATCAAGATAATGATAGCATGCTCTCCTTGAGGGAGTTTTGTATTGCGGTCTATCTAATGGAGCGTTATAGAGAGGGTCGACCTCTTCCCCCCATGTTCCCAAACACTTTAATATCTAGTGAGAGCATGTTTACCTCTCCTGGTCAATCTGTGGCTCCACATGGCAATGCATCCTGGGGACAACCACATGGTATTGCATCACACAAACACAATCCTTTTTCTGTATTACTTGCATGATTTTTCTAGAGTAAGCAGATTCATTTATAAACCAAATATTATAGGTTTCCAACAGCAAACGAGGCCACCAGCTATTCCCAAAGGGAAGCCTCCGAGGCCGGTTCCTCTCTCTCCTAGTGATGGAATGGCCCCGCCCACCCAGCCAAAGCGAAAGTTGCCTGAGTTGGAAAAACATCTGGTGGATCAACTTAGCAAAGAGGAGCAGGATTCACTCAACTCGAAGTTTGAAGAAGCAACTGCTGTTGATAAAAAGGCACTTCCTGGTTTCTCTCTGATTTTAATGTGCTAATGTGGTGAATTTATTTGGTTAGCGTGAGTCTTTTTTTTTTTTAATTTGAAGGTGTCTTTTACCCCTCTTCATATGGCACTCATTTGAAGTAATTGTAGATGCAATCATATTCAAGATTAGAAGTTTCCAAATCCATTCATCTTGGCAGTGAATCTTAATTTTCTTGGAAGATAATTTTTCCTTTCTTAACTTGTTTTGATCCTACTTATGAAAATTTGTGTGCTTTTCCCGTATAGGTGATTAGTTATCCGTGTACTCTTTAACATATGCGTCTTCCATTTCTTTTTTTTCAAAATTCTTGTATTTTGGTCTTCAGGTGGACGAACTTGAAAAAGAAATAGCTGATTCCAAGCAGAAAATTGAGTTCTTCCGTGCTAAGATGCAGGAACTTGTAAGTATATCTGCTTATTCAGCTTGACCTTTTCTTTTCAAAAATGCTGTCTGTAATCGCTTATTTAATAACCAGAAGTAGAGACAACAATTGTTTGACATTATGATTGTATATTTTTTTGCTGTTTGATCAGGCCTTTTTTGTAAAGTGATCTCAAAAGTTCTAGGAATATAGTTGTTTGTAGGTTCCTTCTTATTATTCCGAACGATCAGTCTGTATCTAAAACCTTTCTTATTATTCCGAACGATCAGTCTGTATCTAAAACCTTCTCCCTGTCGTGACAGGTTTTATACAAGAGCAGATGTGACAACCGATACAATGAGATCACAGAGAGAGTCTCGGGTGATAAACGTGAGGTATACAACTTCTGTTGCACTGTGCTTCTTCCATAATGGTATTAGAGATCCAGTTTGATTGCCTAACATAACCAACCTGTAATCCAGCTTGAAACTCTAGCAAAAAAGTATGAGGCGAAATACAAGCAGTCTGGCAACGTAGGCTCTAAATTGACTATTGAAGAGGCCACATTCCGCGATATACAGGTAGTTTAGAAGTATCATCCCAAGAACATGGCGTTCTTTGAAAGTTTCTGCAAGCTGGATGACTCCTTCAAAAATATGATAAACCTCCCTTTAAATTGCAGGAGAAGAAAATGGAATTGTACCAGGCAATAGTCAAATTTGAAGAAGGCAAGCTTGATGATAGTGTTGTTAAGGTAAGCCACACGTGTTATCTGGTTGATTGAATGTGACTGGTGGTTGTAGTTTGCTGAATGTTGTCTTGTAGGAGCGCACTGAACACATCCAATCAGGCCTTGAGGAACTGGTTAAAAATTTGAATGAGCGCTGCAAACAATATGGAGTACGTGGCAAACCCACTTCTCTGGTGGAGCTTCCTTTTGGTATAGATTTACCCTGTCTCCTTTCAAGTTAAATGTCACCTTTAGTATTATATTCGCTTGATCAGTGGTGAATGGGGTACCACATTTGGCTGCTAATTTCAGAATCTAGTATATTAATTAATCAAGAATTTGATTTAACGTTGATTCTTTTGTACGACACGAGAGGCTCTTCATGTATTGTTGCTAGAAATACTTCTGACTATACAATTGTATACCAGTTGTAAATTCCTTTGTTTATTCATGGGATTTTTTCGCTTTTACAGGTTGGCAGCCTGGAATCCAGGAAAGTGCTGCTGATTGGGATGAAGATTGGGATAAACTAGAGGAGGAAGGTATACTTGCGGTTTAGATTTACATATCGGTGTCAGATGAGATTACCGAGGAAGCATGGCTTTAGATGTTTAGTCAATTTTCTTGTTTCTTTATATTTTTGTTGTTGTTTGGGTGATCTGTCTTCCAAAATAGGGTATAGATTCTGAAAGTTGAACATTTGAACTTTGCGTATTAATATTTCTCCACTTCCAGGGTTTGCCTTCGTCAAGGAGCTTACACTTGATGTCCAAAATGTCATAGCTCCACCAAAGGAAAAGACATCGGTTTGGAAGAAAGATGTTACATCCTCAAAAGAAGGTGAAGACGTTTCATCCACAGATGTTGAGTCTAAAACAGAGAAAAAGCCAAGCAGTGGTGAAGAGGCTTCTGAAAAGGATCCAGCATCTGAACATTCAGAAGGAAAAACAGAGAAAAACGGATCTCTGGATGACTCTAGAAAGGGTATTGAAGCTGATGGTTCACCTCGAACAAAAGATACGAGGAGGTATGCATTTTGTGTAAGACCTTGTGTGTTTTGGATTGCATCTTTCTTAACTGTGGACATTATGTGCTTTGATAAAAAGAGGAAAATAGAGAGTATAATATACTCCTACACATATCGGGTGATTTATATTGTCTACATTTTACTCAATTTTGTTTCAGTGAAAATGGCCAAGACGATGGTGAATCTACTGCTTCTGCTGGCAAAACTGGAAACGAACCTGTATATTATGACTCTCACGATGATACAGATTCAGTTTCAAGCTTCAACCCTGATAGCGGAAAGGTAAAATGTGCTCATCGTGCTCTGTGTATCTATCTATATTTCTGTTAACCTGTATGTACCTACAGGAAAGAATCATTCTTGTAATTGCCTGATAAAAAGATAAGAAAAGGCATTAAAGTTGATGCTTTGTCATCTTAATCTAATGAGTGTGGTGTGTTTACGCAGGACAAGGATCATGAGAAGCATGATAGTGGCTTTGGATTCGGATTCGGATTCGGATTCGATGACTTCAGCATTAAGCCTATAAAAACGGGCTCCAGCCTTTCAAGTGACTTCCTCCCTCCTAAGTTATCTATATTCTCTGATTCTGTCCCAAGCACCCCGGCAAATGCGAACGACGCTTTCACTGCAAAACCTTCCTTGTTCGCTGATTCTGTCCCGAGCACTCCTGCAACAACCACTGCCTCTTACCAAGGCACGAAATCGTACTTTGATGACTCGGTTCCAAGCACTCCTGCTTATCCTGGCAACTTGTTTCCCGAGAAGAAATCATACTTTGATGACTCGGTTCCAAGCACTCCTGCCTATCCTGGAAACTTGTTTCCCGAAAAGAAATCATTCTTCGATGACTCTGTCCCAAGCACTCCTGCTTATAGCACGTCTGATTTTGGCGGGAAGCCATTTGCGTCAGAGACTCCTCGCTCAGACAACTTGTTCCCAGGAAGAAGTCCGTTCATGTTCGACTCTGTCCCAAGCACACCTGCTGCACACGATGACTTCTCTTCCAACAACAACAGCTTCTCCCGCTTCGACTCATTCAACAGCAACAACAACGACCCTTTCTCTCTATCCCGCACAGACTCGATGCGCAGCACAAGCGAGCCCGACCCATTCGCATCCAGGTTTGATTCTTTCAACTATCAAAGATATGATTCTTTCAATGCACAGAGCTTTGATTCATCTAGCAACAACAACAACAACGCATCCGAGACACCTAAAGCCTCATTGACAAGATTCGACTCAATCGGAAGCACCAGAGACTCTGATTACAGTCACGGGTTTGGGTTCGATGACCATGACCCGTTCGGTTCTACCGGACCATTCAAATCGACGACAACTACAGCAGAGACACCACGGAGTTCTGATCATTGGAATGCCTTCTAGCCTCAAAAGTCAAAAGCCCACGTGTGATATGAATATGTTCACAATATCATATAGTTTGCTGTACTTTTACAGTTCGAACTTACCTTTCGGAAGAGTTATATGTATTTCATTTGTTTGGTTTGCCCTCTGCTTGCTTCATTTTTATTGTTAATATATAATAGTTCTATTGCCATTTTTTTATCTTGCAAGGATTTTTTGACGAGTGTCCTTTGATCTCCCGAGTAGTGTTTCTTTCTTTGCCCATTTTGTTATAATGAATAATGAACTTCTATTTGACCTTGTGAAACAGAGATTTATATTATTGTATCTTTGTTCTCTTAAGGATAATTTCCAGATGTTTGTTACATAGATTTGATTGGCATTTATCAATACTGTATATTAAACTAAGTGTTGGATACACACTTTGATTAATCCTCAGATAAACAATATAACGAATGAAAGAATAACCACCTCAGCATTGCTCTCAGCGTTCTTGAGCAAATCAAGAACGAATTGAGCAGATTTTGCAGACCAACGTCCCTGACCATTAGAGTGACTGTTCTTGGCTTGAGCCGTTCTTCCAACACGTCTACAGAAACGGGCGAAGGGAATTGCTTGCTTGTGGCTGTGTTAGGTTAAATTTATGGAAAAATTCGGTCCTACACTAGTGACACCAAAACCCTCTATTCATCCCTTTTCCAGTAAATGATTTTACATGCACAAATAAGTCATCGTAGCTGACGACGATGGTTCAATGAAATTAATGAATTAGTTACCAAGTAAAGAAGGCGGTTGAAATTTTGAAAAGCATGCGAATATATTCTTCTATATAATAATATACGTTCTTGAAACTGAAGAAGATCTTAAAAATTCATAACGTTCAAATCGGTATATAGTTTCTAATAATTTCGTATAAAACTCAGTTACATAAAATACTTTCTTGATTGGAGTTAATTTGATCGATACATTGGGCAGATGAAATCAGTTATCGTTTGTACCATATTACCTTTCGTTTTATCTAAAGTATTTGTCTTTTGGTGAGTCATACATACATAATTAAGAACGAGATAGACAGATGTTGACATTAAACAATTTACCAAACCCTCATTCTTTAATTGTATATATTTCCATTTTTAGTAAAAGACTGATGAACACAAACTATCATTTTTGGTAAAAAAAAAAGAACACAAACTATCATTTCCGTACTATATCACTTTTGCGACTCGTGTTATATATATTGACTTACAAATCAGTAATATATATCTACATCCCTGTACCACCTTATATACATCTAGGTCCTCTATCATGTTATGTTAACATGCATGTTTATGTATCTAACAACTGACGTGTCAAGTTCCTGGTGTTGTGTTTTTTTTTGTTGTTGTTGAGAATTTGTTCAAATTAATAAATTATTTAGCAAGTGCTCTGAATTTCAGTGATTTCATCTAAGCCAATTAAAAATTCTAGATTATATTCCAAAATACATTAAATTTTATTAAAAACTAATATTAGTAATTTGTTTTTGTTTTTATAATGGTGAGATTGTCTTTTAATGATAGACTGATCTGTACCTCTCTTTTTTTCTTCTTCTTTCTTTAATGTAATGCTAGAATTTGTTGTTGATATAAAATTATAAATACCCTCATGAGTACATCACTGAAAGAACACAAACACAACCGCATCATGCAACAAGCAAAACAGAAGTAGGGAAATTGTCAACCCTCATCATGAAAGGCTTACCTTTGGATCTTGTCGACGAGATTCTCTTGAGATTAGATCCCAGATCGGTGGCGATGATGCGATGCACGGATAAATCTGTGAATTTTACAACCATCCGAGTGTCCTTCATGGCGCTTCATGTGCTTCATGTGTACGACATGGAAGCTAACAGTTGGGGAGTTTTGGGGTCAACCAGAATTTGGTCCAAAAGGGACCGAGACTTCTATAAGTTCACGCCCTCTTTCCTCTCTATCGAAGAGGATGATGAGCGCAAGAGTTTGGGAGTTTTAGGGTCAATCAGATGGTTGTCCAATAGCTTCTACAACTTTACGCGCTCGTCTTTCTACTATATCCAAGAGGATCAGCAGAAGAAGGTGGCCATAGCTCCTAATGACAAACGCCTCCCTTTTCTAAATGCGGTTATGGGACTCATTGATACAACCAAGTAAACCATACTCTGCAGAAATAACTCATTTTAGAAACTTGTGTTACAAGGCAAATCAACCAAAACTAAGAATGAATGTAGAACAAAATGCATATATATATATATATATATGGATTTGATATTTTGATTCGAAACAGAACAAAAGGATCACTATTTGTATTTATATATGGATTTGATTCGAAGCAGAACAACAGGAAAAAAACGACAAGCAAGTTCCATAATTGTAAGATTACTCGACAATCCAATTTCAATGATCATACGAATATATTGCCTAAACCGGAACAAACCGTACCGAATCCTTGAGTAAATATTAATGTGAAATAAACAATACATCGATTAAACCACATCTATCCGAATCAACCCCAAAGGATTTCCCAAAAACCAAAAAAAATACAAATACAATTCCGAGGGGGAGAACCTGTATACATTTACAAAAATCTGTGAATTTTACAAAAACAAAAATCTTCACAGCGATTATTAATGTGACGAATTATTATGTTGACATCTTGTATTTCTGTATTCTTAATGAACTCTAACAAAGAAAAATAAGAGGATCGAATGTCATAATTTTGTAAGAAGCACTTACACCATGTAATTATGTATTGACTTTTAGAATTCTGGTGAAGCAGTTCAAATGTGATTGATAAAATTTAACAACATGTAGATATATATTTTTGTCCATGGTAAAATAGTAAAATGAAAGAATGTCAAAATACAAATCTTAAAGAAAGAAAACTAGAGATGAGATGAAACGCAGATTGAGGGTATTTTGGCGCGTGGAGTGCAATCTCTGTTTCAAGTGTCAATCCAGTCACCATCAAAGTAGAAGAAGCACAGACTTTCTTTTCTTTTTTCTTAATTCGGCCATGAAGAGGACGAAACCACGAGGTCCACCAAATTCCTGCAAAACTCCAAAACTTGATCTCAAAATATCATCATTATCCGCCACTACGGTGAATCGGCTCTCTCGTCGTCACCGCGTCTACACTAGTCTCTCCCATGTTCCTATGCTTCTGCCCTTGCCACGTACCTCACTTCCTCATGACTCGGCTTTCTCCGGCCACCGGAATCTCTCCCCGCCTCCACTGCTCCGTCGATTGGGGCTCTGATGGACGATTGCTTCCGCTCGCCTTCGGGTTTCGGAGAAGCGAGGTCCCCTTTAAACGCCGCTTGAGATTTGTGATCAGGGCGGAGCTCTCTGAGGCCTTTTCTCCGGATTTGGGTTTGGATTCTCAGGTTTTCATGCTTCCCTCCGACTTCCTTCCTAAAATTTCATCAATTCATGTTAGATTGAATCGTTCTTTCCGTCTATGCTTTCATTTTGTTTGCTGGTTAGGATTCTGTATTCATCTTTTGCGTAGATGGATCTATGCAATCTCGCCTGCTGCAAAGCTTACTTATTTTTTTCTGAGAATATTTAGATGATTCGAATCATTCCGTAACCTGAGACAAATCACGTAGCTGGTTTCACTTGTTTATCCAGTTGAACTGATACTGTACTATTTGATAGCTAGATTATTAGTTTCTTTAGTTTTTAAATCTGGAGTTTGTTCTTTCTTGACTAACTTCACTCTCTTGGATCTTCAAGGCTGTGAAATCCCGTGATACATCAAACTTGCCTTGGATCGGCCCAGTTCCAGGGGATATTGCTGAAGTTGAGGCATATTGTAGAATTTTTAGATCAGCTGAGCGACTACACGGAGCTTTGATGGAGACGTTATGCAACCCTCTGACTGGTGAATGTCGAGTACCGTATGATTTTTCACCAGAGGAAAAACCATTGTTGGAGGACAAGATAGTATCAGTGCTTGGTTGTATATTATCTCTTTTAAACAAAGGAAGGAAAGAAATTCTCTCAGGGAGGTCATCATCTATGAATTCATTTAGTCTGGATGATGTTGGGGTCGCGGAGGACACACTTCCACCACTTGCCATTTTCAGGGGTGAAATGAAACGGTGTTGTGAGAGCTTACACATTGCCCTCGAGAACTATCTGACGCCCGACGATGAAAGAAGTGGGATTGTCTGGGGGAAATTACAGAAGCTTAAAAACGTCTGTTACGACGCAGGTTTCCCACGCAATGATAATTATCCTTGCCAAACACTTTTTGCCAACTGGGACCCTATTTACTCGTCAAATATGAAAGACGATACTGATTCCTACGAGTCTGAGATTGCGTTTTGGAGGGGAGGTCAGGTAACAGAAGAAGGATTGAAGTGGTTAATCGAAAAGGGGTTTAAAACGATTGTTGACCTGAGAGCTGAAAACGTGAAGGATACATTCTATGAGGCGGCACTTGATGATGCAATTGCTCTTGGGAAAGTTACGGTGGTGAAAATTCCAATTGAAGTCAGGATGGCCCCTTTAGCTCAGCAGGTCGAGCTGTTTGCTTCTATTGTAGCTGATAGCAGCAAAAGGCCGATCTATGTTCACAGTAAGGAAGGTGTTTGGAGAACTTCTGCAATGGTTTCCAGGTGGAAGCAGTACATGACACGTCCGATAACGAAAGAAATTCCAGTTTCAGAAGAGTCAAAGCGTCAGGAAGTTTCTGAAACAAAGCTTGGATTGAACGTTAAAACATCTGGTAAGCATACCGATAAAGTCTCTGAAAACAATGAGGTTGATAGTAAATCTGCTACAGTCCAGAGCAAAGAACCTGGAAGCAATGTGGAAGATACATTTGCATCAGAATTTAATATGGTGAGTGATCCTCTTAAAGCTCAAGTTCCACCGGGGAATATTTTTTCGAGAAAAGAAATGTCTAAATTCCTGAGGAGCAAAGGTATTGCTCCTGCTGGTTATCTTAGTAATCAGTCCAAAAAACTGGGAATAGTGCCAACTCCGCAGTTTTCATATGCTGGAGTGACAAACGGTAATCAGATCGTTGATAGAGATTCCGCAAGAGGACTTGCGGAGACAGGAAACACCAATGGGACCCTTCTACCTGCAAGGTCTCAAAGCTTAGATTTTGGCAATGGAAACTTTTCAAATGGAAATGTGCATGCTTCTGATAACACCAATACAAGTACATCGAGTAACAGGGGAAATGGCGTCTCTGCAAAGCCTATTGTTGTGCCTCCAAGTGAAAACTTAAGTCGGACTGTAGTTTCTCAACCTGTTCGAGATTCTCAAAGAAACAATGGTGCTTCTTCGTCGGATTCCAGTGATGATGAAATTGAGGGAAATATGTGTGCATCTGCCACTGGTGTAGTAAGGGTGCAGTCGAGAAAGAAAGCAGAGATGTTCTTAGTCCGAACTGATGGAGTCTCTTGTACAAGGGAAAAGGTTACAGAATCCTCGCTAGCTTTCACGCATCCAAGTACTCAACAACAAATGCTTCTGTGGAAAACTACCCCCAAAACTGTACTACTGCTGAAGAAGCTTGGGCTAGAACTGATGGAGGAAGCTAAAGAGGTAAACGCTTTGCTTTTCAAATCTAGAAGATTACATAATTCTCTGTTGTGTATTAAAGTTGCCTATAACTTATAGGAAACCCGTGAATAATTGTCGTTCTTTTGAATTTGGTTTCAGGCTGCGTCTTTCTTGTATCACCAAGAGAAGATGAATGTTCTGGTTGAACCTGAGGTGCATGATGTATTTGCCAGGATTCCAGGGTTTGGCTTTGTCCAGACCTTTTACATTCAGGACACAAGGTACACGAATAAGTTAAGTGGGGATAAGCTAGACTAATCAACAGCAGCTCAATTATGATCGACTTTGTTTTGCTTTTGTTTGAACATCAGCGATCTCCATGAAAGGGTTGATTTTGTGGCATGCTTAGGAGGGGATGGGGTGATATTGCATGCATCAAACTTGTTCAAAGGAGCTGTCCCTCCCGTTGTTTCATTTAATCTGGGGTCCCTTGGATTTCTCACATCACATCCAGTAAGCCTTTCAACATTTTTCTATTTCTTAACTATGTGAAGCCATCTATTCATTCTTTGTTCTTTTCTTCGATTTAGTTTGAGGACTTCAGGCAAGACCTCAAACGGGTCATCCATGGGAATAACACGCTAGATGGGGTTTATATAACTCTTCGAATGCGTCTTCGTTGCGAAATCTACCGTAACGGCAAGGCGATGCCTGGTAAAGTGTTTGATGTTCTGAACGAAATCGTTGTTGATCGAGGATCCAACCCATACCTTTCTAAGATCGAATGTTATGAGCACGACCGTCTTATCACCAAGGTTTGTTGTACCCAATTAGTATATTTTCTTACCAGAGATTCCAAATCTGCTAAATATTTAAGGAAACGAGAATATTTTCATGCATACTGCAAAACATCCCCCGCATCGCTAAATGTTGTTTGTGTTGACGAATAATGCTATTGTAGGTGCAAGGTGATGGAGTTATCGTAGCAACGCCTACAGGAAGTACTGCTTATTCTACAGCAGCAGGAGGTTCCATGGTAAGCTTTTCATCTTAAGAGTTACTTCCAACTCTGCGTTGCCTACAGAAAATAATCTTCATCAAACATATTTTTTATTTTATTTCTATTTGACAATTATAAAACTCAAAACCGCAGGTGCATCCAAACGTTCCTTGCATGCTGTTCACTCCAATCTGCCCACATTCCCTTTCGTTCAGACCGGTTATACTTCCAGATTCTGCAAAACTCGAATTAAAGGTAAAAAGACTTTTAACACAAACTCAACTCAGTACTTGGTCAAATATGTAGAGCAACACTCTTATTCCTGTTGATGCAAAGCATTATGGTCTGAGATTAGCTGTTTGAAAATTCTGACAAATATCATCATGTCTAAAACAAAACCAGATTCCAGATGATGCACGAAGCAATGCATGGGTATCGTTTGATGGAAAGAGAAGGCAGCAACTTTCAAGGGGAGATTCGGTGAGAATATACATGAGCCAACATCCACTCCCAACTGTCAACAAATCTGATCAAACCGGTGATTGGTTTAGAAGCTTAATCCGTTGCTTAAACTGGAACGAGCGTCTGGATCAGAAGGCTCTTTGATGATTTGATTGATTCATCGACAGACACATACATATATAGTCAGTCATAAACACAGCCTTACAGGTCTCTTTGTTTCAGCCCTCCCTAGTTACTGTACATATTCATAATCTCTATCATTCACTACAATCTTCACAGGGGAAACCTTTATTAATTTACTGGAGAAAAATGTTTTCCGTTGTCAATTTTTTAGCATCCTCATCACGCTACGATCAATTCAGACTTCAGAAACGTAACATACAATCGAACTTGAGCTATAAAAGAGACATTGCCTGATTTTTTACCATTCAATTCTGTAAAGGTAGTACAGACTAGAGAATGTAATTTGTGGTACCTTTAACTTGAATCGAACAAGACATTATTATTATATGAATAGTTCTTTGGATTCCAACGGGGATGACCAGTACTCGGTACCTTGCTATGTAACCTTTACGTTTAGAACTCGGTTTGGTTTCCCAATTTTGTTTTAAGTTAAACCAAGATTTTTACGAACTGATCATCGACTTATGTACCATTGTAAAATTTCGTCCGGTTAAGCGCTTACCTGCTAGAAAATTCCTCATTGTCGTGAGTGAAGAAGAAGACATGAACATCGGCGTTCTCTCAAACATGGGAACTGAAGAAACTGATAGATTCATGGTGTTTTAGCATCCTCATCACACTACGATCAATTCAGAAACATAATATACAATCGAACTTGAGCTATAAAAGAGACATTGCCTGATTTTCTACCATTCAATTCTGTAAAGGTAGTAGAGACTAGAGAATGTAATTTGTGGTAACTTTAACTTGAATCGAACAAGACTTATTATTATATGAACAGTTCTTTGGATTCCAAGGGGGATGACCAGTACTGCAAGATTGATTCTATGGTTAGCCTTCTGGTTGCACTTAGCATTGAGATGAAAAACCGACATCCATCGATTTTGTATTCTTCGAGAGGGTTTCTATGGGCAAAACTTCTGACATTCACCTATCGACATTGAGGTTTAAAACATGAGTATCAGACAAGCAGAGAGCGAAAAGAAAACAAATAAACAGGTAAGGATCACAGTGGTTACCGCTGAGCTTAGTTTATTCATGTTCACGAGATGGTCTCTCCAGAAGCAATCCAACGTCTTTAAAAGAACAGCTCTCTATTTCCAACAAGTCAGAAAAAAAGATCAGCCGTTGTAGTAGTTTCAATCACATGGGTATACACGCGAGACAAAAAAAAAAAAAAAAAAAAAAAAAACAAACACGTACCTCTATTTCTTTTACGTATCCGTCATCAAAGCCAGATTCTTGAACAACATTCAAGTACGAAGCAATCAAATAATCACCGAGGAACTTCCGGAGAAGATTAACTGCTGTTCGGTACCTCCCACTCCTACAGAAGATAGAGTCCAACTCAACTTCTTTCTCAATGGGACGTACGTCCTCGCAAGTCACAACATGCACTAAGACTCTATTAACTTACGCTCTCACCTGGTCAAATCATCGGAGCAAATGTCGAGCCAACGTCTTAATGAAGAATTCTTTCTGCGAATTCCCCTGAAAGCATTTGGAGGTTTTGGCAGGTGTGGAAGGTAGAAGTTTTCCATATCTATTGAGCTTGTCTCATGCAGTTTTTCAAGGGACTGTAACATGGCTCCTTCTGTGATCCCAGAAAATGACTCTGGTAGTGCTTCTTGTTAGATTTCACAGTGTTTTGTTCTCACGAAGCAAGATATATAGTTATGCTCATAAATGGAAAGCGAAGAAACAAGCTTACCATCCAGTTGGTTTCCTGATATAGCCATAAACTCTTTCAACAACTTGGCCAAGCTCCAGTATCTTGGATGCTACCACAAGCAATAAGATTTTAGATAATGGAAATAACAGCAGAAACAAGAGAAAAGAGCAATGCCACGACCTATTTATTTGACAGAATTTACTAGAAGAGTTTTGATTACCTTCTGTGGATCAGAATTTCCAACGACGATTTCATCTACAACAGCTTGCATGTACCTGAGAGGTAATTTTGTAATTAAATGAGTGAGATCTCACATTCAACAGTCAGAGGTTGCTTAACAATGCACATGAAACGCATGCTAAAAATTAAATGTACATGGCTTTCTTTCACATGGACATAACAAAGGCTACTGCGAGCGTAGTGCTTACTGGAATATATGCTGGGAACAACTTTCATTATCACCCGTCAAAAGCAGTTGCCTTAGGTCATAGACATGCTTCCTTTGAACCTAAAGAAGAAGTAAAATTGAAATGGTTGGTTCAGATATCGGTGTATCCCAAAAACATTACAAACTTCTATACAGAATATGTCTACAAGTAATACAACGTTAAACTGGTCACCCGATAGCAGCGTCTGGGAGACGAGATCGGTTCAATTAGTATACTAGAAATGAAAAAGACGAATGATAGTATGCTACAGCGTAAAGAGAAAACAGCTGAGGTCTTTCAAACGTATAGTAACAGAGAATATTTCCATATGGTTGAGATGCAGATCCAGTAAACGTATTTAGCAAAGCTGGTACCTCTAGAACTTCGTCAAACTCGACCAGGCTTTTTCTTATACCAAAGAAGTATTTCTCTGCATTGATCTGGAGAGCTAGAAGCTACAATGCCCAATGAGGTGAGCCGGATTAGCAAAAAAAAAGCCATTCTTTTTAGGAAAATAACAATGATGGAACCACAATGAAGATAAAAGAATGAACTACATACCTGATTCACTATTGTGTCACCTTCAATTGGTAAATCTTCATCGTTTGTAATCTTTGATATAAGTCTCACAGCCCACTCAGTATCAAAATTGAACTTCTGAAACATCTCATCTTGCAAGCTGTAAGCAAACCAATAGTATTGTAAATCATGTTAACAAGTTAGCGTCAACTCCCAAATATTTTCAGATTGGTGCAAAGTTCATAATGTCAAAGCAGTGAAGTCTTTTCTACGTAAGTAACTTTGCTAATAGAGGGGTTTCCAGTTCAGGAGAATAATCGATGTGATTACCTTACCATAAAGCGCGTTGATCCAGGGTCTCCCTGCCTTCCTGCTCTGCCACGAAGCTATAAGAGATAAAAGGAAGGCAGAAACTCGGAATATTATCCATCTACACATTTGATTCGAAAAGAGTAGCATCCAGGCAAAGCAGCAAAAACCAGAAAGCTTACCTGGTTATCAATCCTGCGAGACTCATGCAAAGATGTCCCAATCACATGAAGGCCTCCAAGCCTCTTCACTTCAGACCCTTCATGTAGACAATGGGCCTCACAGTCCTCTAAGACGGACAGATACGCTAGAGCAATAGCAGCGCCTAAAGGATACATTTCTGACTGCTCGTTGACAAGGTTCTGCAGTTCCATAGTATCCATGGTCTGGCTTTTCTCCAAAGAATCTGTGACCACGGACTTTGCCTCTTTCCTCGACCAGCTTTTATTTTCACTTTTGCCAACATATTTTGCTGTGTCAATTGAATCCAAAGAAGATATCAAGTAAACTAAACATCAAACATGATCCATAGAGTATGTGCACAAGTTCCTAAAAATGAGCGTTAAAAGTTGCGAAGCAAACCCATGAGAGAAGCTCTGGCTAGCAAAGCTAACGACGATGGTCCCACTTTTATTTTTGACAACACCTGACATGATTCCCAGGAAAATTCAATCATTCTACAATGGGATAGAAGTATCCACAAATGATCTGACCTTTATCTTTAAAAATACCTATGTAAAGAGCTCATATTATGAATTCTTTTGCAACTAATACCTTCTGTGATAATTCATTATCGTCAATATCATCTGCCAAGACTTCACTTGTTAGATATGAAAGGACGCTATCCTCTATGATTTCCCTTGCAAGCATCTGCAAGATTACAGCCACAAGAACATAACATGTGAATTTTATTGGCTAAAAAACCAATATAACACAGCAAGATGCCCTCAGAAGACACTCAATCAACTGCAGATCAGACAAACAAACATATGGAGGAAATGAAAAGTTAAGGATGTTTTTCAAAATACCTTTGGATTTCCTCCCAGAATGATGTCAGTACCCCTGCCAGCCATATTCGTAGAAATGGTAATGGCATATTTTCTTCCTGCTTGGGCTATAAAATCAGCTTCCCTGGCAGCATACTGAATGAAGTAAAACGCAGAGTATTAGAACTAGCTGATATCATGTGAATGCTATGTTGATTTTACTATGCAGAGGGATAAGTTTCAAATCCACCTTGGGTCGTGCATTCAGGACATTGTGAGGAATACCCCATTCTTTCAGCAGTTCCGATAAATATTCAGAATTCTCTACACTGCAAAATGACGCTAACTTGTTATTAGTGGAAAAGCATAATGTATCTTTAAAGAATAAATAACTGTTCCTATGTAGTCCTCTTATTATTAGCTTTGCCAACATAAACCACACACTCGATAAAGAAATTCTACATGTTTTAGAACACCCCCAAGAAAATCGCGCCTCAGTCTTTCTTCTGTATACTTTCAAGTGACATCAGTACATGCAATATATTTTGAAATCTTATATAATTGCCTAAGACTATGTGTCAAAAGATGCTGAAGTGATTTAATCACATGGAGCTACCTTGTTGTTCCTACTAAAACAGGTCGACCTTGTCCGAACATATCTTCAACTTCTCGACGAACATATTCCCATTTACCTCGAGCAGTCTAACATACATCATACCACAGGGATGAACAAGAATGCAAAATTAGTTTAAAATTTTAGCAATGAGATGAAAGATGCAAACACAAATCTGAGTTTTTAGGATGCTTACCGCAAAAGCTTGTATAGGTAGATCGATTCGAATATTTGACAAATTTGTAGGAACTTCAATAACAGGTATCTGGAACATTCTCAAAAATTCTTTTTCCTGCAGAAAATAGAAGAAACAAGTGTCTCAAGCAGCATCAAGAAATTGATATCTTTGAAAGATTAAGGAAGTGTTTCAGAGAGAGTTCCCATGTACATACTTCTGTTTTTGCTGTCCCAGTCATCCCGGAGAGCTTTGGATATAGTTTAAAGAGTGACTGGTAGGTGATTTGGGCCACAACAATTGAATCAGCCTAAATCAACGAGTTTAGTTTCATGAGAATGCAATTTTTGAGGCATAGGTTTAATTACGACTTATGATTCTGTGTGACAGACCTGAATTTCGAGACCTTCTTTAGCCTCCACAGCCTGGTGGACTCCCTCAGACCATCTCCTTTTCTCTTCAACTCTTCCAGTCAACTGAAAAGATTTGAAATCCTTGCTTAACTCTCTCATACTGTCGTAAATACTATGAGATGCAAACGAAGCTACAGTAGTTACTAGCAAACTCCTGTCAATTTAATGAAATGAAACAATGATTACAAATGAAGCCAGAACTACTTATACCTCATTAATTATAAGTGCTTTCCCATTTCTCACAATATATTGAACATCACGCTTGTAAAATTCTTTAGCTTTTAAAGCATTCATAACAAACCTGCGTTAGTTATAAAAAATTCCAGTAAGCAGGGATAAAACAAAGAACTGCATAGAAACTTTGAACTAAATTTGAGAAAAAAACTAGTTCAAAACAGGAAAAAAGAACTATATATACGAACAAGATAGGATTGCGAATATGAGGTAAGATCAGGAAGAAGTTTCTAACTGAAATGTTCTTACTCAGAGAATCTCTTTACTCATAACTATATATGTAAGAAATAAATACACTACTCATGACACTATTCGTTGTTCAACCATAAGCCTTCAATTAGCAAATAACTGTATAGAATTTCACCTAATATCTCCACCAGTAACTACCAAACATATGCCACCATTCTATCTTTTGTAACCATTGCCACCAAATCAAACAAAAAAAAATCCTCATGTCTTACTACTAACTTCCAACCTCCAAAGTCTTAAGTCACTAATTGGACCATAAAAAAATAGCAGTGGTAGTAACAAGTGGATACCTGGCCCATGGATCATTTTCGTCCCACAAATCACCTGTCTCAAGAGCCATTTCAGCAAGAGATATACCATCTTCAGTGAGTTCCACAGAGTTCTCTTTCAGTTCAATCTTGTAATGCTATTAACAAGATTTTCAAATATCATTTTAGAAAATCAGTTCCTGAACAACAAAGAATAAAAGAGGTCGGAATAGAATAAAGAGAAGGGAAAAAGGTAAAACTCACAATATCTTTTAGGAGAAGTTCAGCCACTTTAGCAGCAACTGGATATCGTGCAGCATTTTCATTAGCCTGTGATACAAGCACAACAGAAACGGACTCCATCAATCTGTGAAAATATGTCTCAATGATATTGATTTTCTTACTCTATTGAATATTAACCAGATTCAGACTATGATCCAAATGTCTTAATCTCCGAAGAATAAATCTTTTAAGTTTATTAAAATGAACTGTATTACCTCACCGCTTATTAGCAACGGATTTCTGCCTTCATCAATAAGGACTGAGTCCACTTCGTCAACTATCGCAAAGTGAAATGGTTTTGGCCTGTAGATCATAAACTGTCACTATTGAACAAAATTGAAGAGTGAATAGATCTATGGATTTACCATCTCATCACAAGTTGTTCGCTGTTTGACGTAAGGTTATCTCGCAGATAATCAAATCCAAGCTCCTGCGATATGCACAAGTGTTACTAGAAGGAGATGAGAGAGAGAACACAAAAAAGTATAGCCAAAGTGGAAGATAGTAGATATGAATAAAAACACTTGCCGAGTTATTGGTGTATGTAATATCACAGCTATAGTTGAATTTTCTCTCATCCGCTTTCATTCCTCTCTAATTGTACAACCAGTTGTAGACGAAAATGCCATAAGTTTTCTGATTTGATATTCAGAAGGTAGAATGCAAACAGCACCTGAGAAACCAACCTGAATGAGACCAACTGAAAGGCCTAAGAAGCGGTGAACACGACCCATCCACTCTGCATCACGCTGCGCCAGGTAATCATTTACAGTAACCACTGCCGCCAGAAAAATCAATACTAAGATGTTATATGATACGTTTTCCATAGGTACATAATTGTCTATCAACGTTCTACGGAATTGTAGCAACTAGGCAGCAATATATTGCAACAGCCTTTTTCAAAATATCAGCAATTACCAAGTGGTAAAGTGGTCATAGAGAGTAGACAAACATACCATGAACGCCCTCGCCAGTTAATGCATTAAGATATGCAGCTAATGTAGAGACTAGCGTTTTCCCTTCACCTGTCTTCATCTCCGCAATGGAACCATCATGAAGCACTCCTCCACCAATTATCTGATGCAACAAAACCATAAGTTTACCTCTCTTCAAACATGATAGAATTAGTATGGATTAGAGTTTGAGAGTATAGATATAGACAGACCTGCACGTCAAAATGACGCATTCCAATTGTTCTCTTTGCAGCTTCACGAACAACAGCAAACGCCTCTACAGGGAGAAAAACATACAAAAAGGTGAGAAAGCAATTGCAAAGATTTATCAAAATAAAGTTAAATCGACTTAAGGTTTTGATCAAACCAGCTTGCATATCTGCTAGGGACTCCCCTCGTGCTAACCTTTCCCGAAATTCTGCAGTTTTTGCTTTCAGCTAAGGAGGTAAACAAAGAGAAACCAAAATACATTACAGAATCATATCAACTGAATGAAAAAATAAACGTCTCAAGCAGTGAACACTTAGTTAAACCTGTTCATCCGAAAGGCTTTGAATACGTAGTTCGAGGGAATTAACAGACTCCACAAGACGATAGTAGTCCCGCACAACCCAATAATTCATGCTCGCAACATCTTGTAAATTCCTCTTCAAACGACCCAAATTCCCCTAAAATATGGATATGATTTTAACAATGCTACTGAGAAGCTTTGAGAAAGAAAATTTAATCCAAAATTTTCATAAGTAAAGCATCGCACGAAAAAAAAAATCACCAGAAATCTCATTGAGGAGAAATCACACCAGAAAACAACTAATGAAAACAGAAGAGACAAATGATCGAACAGTTGGTGTGCAACAGTTACTGTCAGATTTTAGCGTATATCATACCATTAAGGAAGCAGAGACACAGCTTCTCCGAACAAACTGACACCTCCGAATCGGCGTAATAGACCGAGAGAGAAAAACACCAGAGAAGGGCTTTGTCCATGGAAACTTATTACTTCGAGACAGTAAGCAAGGAGCTGGGTGGTATGTATTAAGGTTCACAAGATTCACAACAGTGCCCATATTCACAAGTATTGCTTTGTTACAGTAGCTTTCTCAAGAATCCATGGATGAAGGAAGCTCTCTGTCTAATGAAATCGTTTGAAAACTCTGCCGGATTACGTTTTGCCACCGTTTCACCGACGGGTGGCGCTAAAAAACTTCCCCCCCCCCCCCAATTTAAATGGTCTCTCACTTAACGATTGTTATTTTCACTTTAAGTCCTTGAAAAGTTTAGTCTTTTCGCAATACGTCTCTAAACATTACAAATTATCATCTTGTTGTAATCTGTCAACGTATTCAAATTCTAAAAAGAAATAAGAAAATTGCGAATCATTACATTATATATTACTTTTTGTACATGTCAACCAATGGGACGAAGGATTCATATACAGTATATATATATTGTGTTTAGATATAAACAACATCTTTTGACGAGAGTAGAATCTTGAGGGACAAGATGAAAAACTCTAGTTTTTGTTAGTGTCCACTGCAGTATACCTGAAAACAAAACTCTTTTTGTCACAGATCATTCTCGAAACAGAAGATGTCACCATGAACGCGGAAAGTTGAAACATAATTGAAAGTGTGGCTAACACACCTTGATGGTTTTATCCGCAAACCCTGCAAAGAGCTTGCCTTCCCAATATAACAAAGATGTGATCACCGAAGAACCCGGGATCGATCCAACGTGTGTACAGTCTAGAGATATCTCATCTCCTGACAATTCCTACAAACGGACATTCGAAAAACAGATGTTAAGGCGATCATTGACATCAGCTGGAGTATACAAGCTAATGGATTACCTGTACATTGACGGTTTTGTCCCAACCTCCAGTGAATATCCATTTACCGTTCACGGCAATGCTTAGAATTGCACTACTCTGTATTTGCATTGACTTCATCAATGTATCATCCCTCCATATCTGAAAAAACCTTAGAATTAAGATTGATATGAAGCAAGTCAAGCAAAAAAATAATTTTGAAGGAAAGATATGAAACCTGTATATCTCCGTTTTGATAAGCTGCCACTAGGGTTTGGTCGTCTGCAGCTAGAGACAGAATAGATCTTACAATACCTTGAGTCTCTTCCCCCAACACCGTCAAAAAACTGTGGTCACTTAGACTCCACAATCGAACGGTACCATCCCAACTTCCACTGTATAATACTCCGTTTAGCACAAGCAGCGTTGAAACTACAGATTTGTGACCAGTCATTGTGCAAACAAGGCTTCCATCCTGAGAAAACAATCGGTTTCTTCAATAATAAGATGAAAGATCTTATCAGGACAAGCTTTTTAAAGTGTACATGAAAACCAACGTACTTGCAATGACCAAGCTTTGATAGTGTTATCTCCACTGCCGCTATACACATACCCATCTTCTGAGTATGCCAACGCATGAATGCCAGAATATCGCCAGTCTTTTGGCTCGTACCACTTTCTTAGCAGCTGTTCTTCCAGAGGGAAACTAGTGCTCCATACAAATATACCTCCTCCTCCATCCCCACTGACACATACTGGTTCTGCTCCCTCGATGTATATCAAAGCCGTTACTTTATCTTGATGACCTTTAAACGTATGCAGATGGGAGAAGTCCTGCATGTAATATGAAGATCCATATATGTAGCTACAATTAGGCCTTGTACACATGATAGAGAGAAAACTAAGCCGCAGAAACCTTGCTTAGAAGAACATGCGTACAAAAAGGATGAAGACATATGTACCTTCAGAGACCATATAAGGATATTTTTATCAAGCGAAGAGCTGAACAGAAACCCACCTACTCATAGAAAAGAGGAACGACATATATTCTTAGCATTTGGATTTTAAACAACACTCTTGGAAGGAAAAATGTGTACTTTTTAATCATTCATCCAACAAATATAATAAGGTGTACCTCCAACCGCTAAAGCCGTGACACTGTCTTGGTGTCCCCGCAAGTCTTTAGATTTGATTTTACCTTCTGAGAGTCTCCCAACAAAATCTATGTCAAACTTTCCCTCCTCTTCTCCCCCGCCATTTCCCACTCCAGGCAATTCCTCTTCTACTTCTTTGGATCCCACTTTTATCGAGCCGCATAATTCACCTAGAACCAAACAAAACTCTTTCCTTTCCCCTGATTTCGTATTATTCAACGCAGTCATAGAACTGAACCTGTGATTCATGACCAGCTCCCTGCTGCATTTCCACAGATCAGTTAAAGCTGGACGTGCCTCAGGATCATGACAGCAACTTTGGCGGAGAATTTCAACCATCGATTTAAACTTCCCACTAAGTTTAGATTCCAGAATAGAACATAACTTCTCTGTAAAACCTGTGTACAACACCAAGAGATCCTCAGTATGCTCTTCACTTTCTATTGCCTCCACACCATTTACACTTTCAATCAGCTCCTCAGAAAACCATTTTCCAAGAAGAAGATGGAGGAGAAGAAAACAAACTGGCCAGACATCAGAGCTATATGAAACCAAATAGTTTGAGCTTCCCTGTGTAGTTATCAACACGTTCTGTTTTTTCAACAGTCCAAACAACACTTCGGAGCTCATAAAAATACCCTCTTTTACTAATCCGTTCAAAATCAATCCCATTTCCAAAGCACCCACTGGTTTGCTGCACGAGCTAGTTTCGTCAGAGATGATTCCATACACATTCCTTCCAGTTTCCAGTAACTCAATCAAATCAACAAAAGCATTCCCAAACTCGTCAAACTTTACACAAGAATAGCTCAAACATCCTGTGAATATCCCTTCCTTATGCAAATTGAGAAGTGCCTCGCATATTTGCATACCAGTTATTGCTAAACATGAAGTATCATCTTCAGTGAGATGATCAAGTTCTTCCCACGAAAATCCAGTAAGCTTCTCACCTACTAAGTACAAAACCCCATTCTTCAAATCACCCCACAAGCCAAAAACTTTAGAGATGCCTCTCTGTTTCACAGAAATGATAGTATCAAGCTCATCTCTCTCCTCCTCTCCCATCTCCCACAGACAACTCATCATCCTCTGGACATAACTATACTTGAGGGCAGATACACAATCATCAAGCTGAAACGAAGCCACTCGTAAAAGACTCACCGTCGAATCATCCTTTAGGCATCCACATACACGCGAAAATGAAGCAGCATCACTACCTTCACTCTCAACGCTCTCCACGGAAACGGCGTCGTGCAGTAGGATCCGATCCTTCCAAGTGGCGTAGAAGTCGTCGGACCATGATCGAGTGACGAACTCAAACGATTTTTTCAAATTCCGGCCAGGCTCTACCTTATTCTGCAAGCTCGAAGGGAACAGTCTCAGGAGATCGATGTTTTTGGGTAGAGCCGATGGTCCTTGAGGTGGAAACTTGACGAGAACCGTGCACGCCGGACATCGGATTGTGTTGGGGAACTTCTTGGGGAGATTCGTCAGGCACTCCTCACACGCCGTGTGTCCGCAGGGGAGCACGCGGGGAACTGTACACTCTCCGTCGTATGACTGTAGACACACCGGACACTCCGGTGGCTCCATCACCCGCGATTCGAACCTCCGATGATACAACTGAAATGTAACTCGTGAAACAAAGTTCGGTCATGAGGGTATTTCTGTAATACACACTACATAATACGGGGTTTATTGTCATTTCCTAGTCTCATATTCTCAATTCTATATTTTTCTTCTCTCTCGGTCGTCTTCTTCACTGCGATTTACCGATCTCGTGACGTGGAACTGAGGAAGAGGGAGAATCCGATTTGCTAGGGCTTTCAAGGTAATCAATCACATATTCCGATCATGTAGAAGTATTGGCTTTAGATTCCCAGTTTGATTGTGGAATGCAAATGTTGTCCCTTTGCTCTTCAGTTTCTCGCTTAGTTTCCTGACACGATCTCTCACTTTCATGTTAGAAACAATGGCGGGAGCTGGAACATCTATGGTAGGCTCTGTTCTTCTGTTTACAGTGATCCTCTCGCTTCAACAAGTGTACCGAGGGAAATTAGCTTCTTCTGAGCTATTCACGATCCTTGGAGGATTCACTAGCTCACTCCTCTTTCTGCTGTCTCTGACTGTAAGTTTCTTAGCTGCATCAATGGTTTTCTCTGAATTTGAACTCCCCTTTATCCACTCGGTAGAACCAATATGTGCCAGTATCGTTCCCTGTTGACAAATTTAAGATCTTTGGTTCTGAATCTCCTGACATTCAAATCAAGTCTTGTGTTATCAAATTCATCGACGTTGTTTGCTGACGATTATGATTTATGCGGTTTGCAGTTCATTGGAAATTTCCAGGAATCTTCTGGCATGAAGAGTAGCTGGGGTGCGGGTAAGCTTCTCTATGACATAGACTATCCTTGCATTGTTGTGAAAGAGCAACCTTTTTTGCGTCACTCTACCCCCAAATAAGTTTTGTAGTTCATAATTTTGTTAGGGCTTTAGATCCTTGTGGAAATTCAGATCATGTCCCCAAAGTTTTCTTCCTCCTGGATATTACAAATGAAAGACTAATGTGTCCATGTATTTCAACGAATCATTTCTTGAACCTGGAAGCTTTCCATCCGATGTCTTGATTGATCTGTTTTTGTCTATTCATTCTCATCTCTCACGCTTAATGCGAGCATTACAGTGAAAACGATATGTGGTAAATTCTGCAGTATATTAATTAAAAGTCAGTTTTTTTCTTTTTTTCATGACAGTGATTCTTGCGGAAATCATAGCTCTTATTGCTGCTAGCACGGTGCATCGAGTTTGTATTACAACCTGGTAAACACACTAGTTCATCTCCATGTACCAGTCTTTCATTGTTATCATCACTTCATTACTCTCTGGCTAAAAGCTGCGATTGCTTTGCTATTCAATGTGTTTCTTGCAGTTTCTTGTTCTCCGCTGGGATTTTATACGAGATGAACAAGATCTCAGGATACATGTTCTCCAAAGCTGAGTCAAAATCTAAAAGGCATTGAATCAAAGAACGGACTTGGCAAGTGCGTGATGTTTTAGCCCTAAAAGTTTCCAGGATACTTCCAACTTTATGAATTAAGAACCTTAGAATCTTATGCACCTTATGCTTGACTTTTATTTGTAGTTGTGTTTTATGTTCGTAGAGAAACTGTATGAAAGTGCATCAAGAAGAAAACTTTTGAATTATTTTTGTTGGATTGTAATGAGACAGATCAGTGTTTCATCTTTTATTAACTAAAAAGGCCCCAAACTAAAAACTCCAAAAAAGAGCCGCAGACAGAAATCTCAAGCTGACATCATGGCTTGCTCGTCCTGGTAATAAAGGAACCAGACGGCTTGTTATACATATGATAATGACACGAGAAAAGAAACTTGGTGATTCTTAAGCGTCGTCGAGGGCGAGGACTCCTGGAAGTGGCTTTCCCTCGAGAAGCTCCAAACTTGCACCGCCTCCGGTAGAGATGTGGCTCATCTTATCAGCCAAACCGACCTTCTCAACGGCAGCCACAGAGTCACCTCCTCCTATGATTGTGGTCACTCCCTTTCCGCTCAGCTCTGCAAGCTGCTTTGCAACGGCCTGATGGTGAAACAAGACAAGAGAACGGGTTACTTAAGTTGAGTTTCTCTGTTTAAAGTTCTCTGTCTAACAAACATGGAAGATGAAATTCTGCGAGCAGAGTTTTAAGTTGCTCGTACCTCAGTTCCAGCTGCAAACTTATCGAATTCAAAAACGCCCATGGGACCATTCCAGATGATGGTTTTGGAAGTGTCAAGAGCGTCGCTGAATGTCTTGATGGAGTCTGGACCAATATCGAGACCCATCCAGCCATCTGGGATGGCCGTGGCTGCCACTATCTGCAATATTTCATAATTGTGTCAGCTTTAAACAAAGCAGGTATGACACATTGTGAGTCTCATAACTGACAAGAAATCAATACAACTGTTACCTTGCTGTTAGCGTCAGGAGCAAACTTGTCAGCAATGACCACATCTGTTGGGAGCAACAGAGAGACACCTTTGGCCTTTGCCTTCTCCATGAGTGACCTCGCCAAGTCAAGCTTGTCCTCCTCCAAAAGAGAAGATCCGACTGAGTGTCCTTGTGCCTTGTAGAAAGTGTAAATCATACCTCCACCAAGCAAGAGGATGTCAACAGTGTTCAAGAGGGACTCAATGACACCAATCTTTGTTGAAACCTTTGAGCCTCCAACAATGGCAGCAAAAGGCTTCTTGGGGTTTGCCACAGCTCCGACAAGGTAATCAAGTTCCTTCTGCATAAGGAAACCAGCAACCGAAGGCTTCAAATATTTGGCAACTCCCTCAGTTGAAGCATGAGCTCTGTGAGCAGTTCCAAAGGCATCGTTAACATAGACATCTGCAAGTGCAGCAAGCTTCTTTGCAAATTCAGCGTCGTTCTTCTCTTCTTCCTTGTAGAACCTCACGTTCTCCAACAGAAGAACACCACCTTCAGGTAGTCCTGCAACCAGTTTCTGAACTTCCTCACCAATAGAGTCATCTGCCATTACAACCTCAACACCAACAAGTTCAGACAACCTCGGCACAAGAGGCTTTAAGCTGAACTTAGGGGTAACACCTTTGGGGCGGCCCAAGTGACTGCAGAGAACAACCCTAGATCCATTATCCATCAAGTACTTGATGGTGGGAACAGCGGCACGTATTCTAGTGTCATCGGTGATGTTAGAGTTATCGTCCAAAGGGACGTTGAGATCAACCCTCACGAACACGCTCTTTCCTTTTAGATCCGCTTCCTTCAACGTTCCAACGCTTCTCTTGGTCGCCATGGTTACTTTGTGGAACCAAAAAAAAGAATGGCGATGTTAAACAGAGAACCTATTGTCAAAGCACCGTTTTTCATATTTAGACAACTGGGCCTTATATAGGCCCACTTATGTCATGAGGCATATAAAGTCCAGGTTGGTGAAATGGATTTTAGTCATTTAGCTCTATTTTGTATATGACTCATAAAATAGTATTTTAATTAAAAAAATCTTAATACAAATATTCAAGGTTATTGAAGTTTTTTGTTTTCAATGGAATTTCTGTAAATGTTGGATCGTTTGTAAATTAGGGATGCTTCAATGGGTTAGTCTGCTCCGTTTATGTTTGGCACATGTAATGTTTGGTTTCGATTTGGCCTTAGCCTTGATGTTGATTCACATAATTTTTTTGATCCACCTTAATATATAGATTGCTAAAGAAGTCTGAATTGTATTGTCATCCATCATATATTAGATGAACAAAAAATAATATTTTAAACTAATATTTCCTCTTTTCTTTAAATGATGTTTTAAAGTTTATTTTATATACTGTAATTAACTGATGTTTAATAAAATTTATATGTACAGCTGCATATTTTTGTAATTTACTCTTATTTATGTTCCTAACTCCCTCGATTATTGATATCTAATTTAATGAATGGAAAAGAAAACATAAGAGTAAGACATAATGATGTGCAATAATATAAAAGTGGACAGGTTGGATGGATTATGCCAGATTGCTCTGGAATGTAACTGTAACATCATCATCCACTATATATAAGCGAAAGAAAATGACTTACATAATTTTGACCAAAAAAAAATGACTTACATAATTAAATGATTTATTTTCTTAATTAGTGTTGTGGAATGGAATCTTTTTACGATTTAGAAAAAAAAAATCAGTAATTAAGAAATATACGATGGATAATTATATATAAGGGAGGGAAGAAAAAAAGGAAAGGTGGGAATTTTAAAAGCAAGGCCATCTGTCTTGAGGACCCCACCATTTATTTGTGGGTGGTAAGGTACAATCTAATCGTCGGTGCCTTTCAGATTTTTTATTTTCGAGAGAGAGAGAAAGAGAAGACGATTGTTTTTTTTTTTTTTTTTTTCTTTCCAAATTCCCCTTCAATTTTTCGTCGCCCCTCCGATTTTTCCCCTATTTTTCACGTGAGATCCTGTGGTTTTCACGGGATCGATCTGATAAGGGGACTGTTTCATCTTGGAATTTTTGGGAATCGTCTTGTTTTTGTTGTTCTCGATCAATCTCCGAGATGGACGAGTTTGGTGTTCTTACGGAGCGTTATGGGATAAAGCCCCAAGGTAAATCTGCTCCAATGGCTGCATCGAAGCGTTCTGGCAACCCTAACAATGGTCAGAGCTGGAATTTCGGCGGTGTAAATACGAAATCGACGTCGAGCAGCTCTCGGAACACGAAATCTGCTAATGGGTCTTTGTACGACGGTGACGACATTTTATTTTCCTCGAGCTCTACTGATAGGAATGGAGCGAGTTCGGGAGGTTTTAATGATTTTGATGTTTTTGGTGGCTTGAACAAGCCGTCTTCCCGTAATAGCAAGTCGTCTTTAAACGACGATCTAATTTTCTCCAGTTTGGGGAATTCGGGGAAGAAAACATCTTCTTTACCACAGGGTTTTGATGCTGATGACTTGTTTGGTGTTATGCCAAAGTCTCAAAGCTCCGCTAGCGTTAGCAATGATGATATATTTGGGTCATTCTCTTCTCCATTGGCTAATCAGAATGCTGCGGTCGATGATTTGCTGAGTGACATGGGTGGATTTGGTTCGAAATCAAAGAGCTGGAACCAGAACAGTTCCGTGGATTTGGGGAATAATAAACCTGCTTTTGATGAATTGATACCCGGTTTTGGTGGAAGTTCTCACACGGCTACAAGGTCTGTGATCAGTTTTATGAAGCTTTATTGGGGTTTGGTTTAGTTTCCATCACATCATAGGATTGATTGTATGAGATAATGTCTCTTAGTGTTGGAATGTGCTATTGTCTCGTGAAATATCAGATAACCATTCTACAAGGAAATGTTTAGTCTTGTGATTTGAGTTTATGCTGGTTGAGAAATTTTGTTTTTTGGTTGGTTTTGCAGCAGTACTACCACCACAGCAAACTTTGTTGATGATGACCCTTTTGTGGTTCTAGAATCAACTACGTCTGCTGCACATTCTTCTCCGGGTCTGTTCGTAGATCCACTTGATGAATTTGCTGAGTTGGTCAGTTCTCAGGGGAAAAAACCACCAAATACTACACAGGCTTCTACGAAACTCAAGCCTCCGCCTAAACCAACACAAAAAGTGGACAGAGGTTAATCTCTTTGATAACCTGAAAAGTATGTTGATTGAGTGCTTTTTTTTACTGTTTCCATTGTGGTCTAACTAGTCAAGGAATTGTTCGCGCAGTTAATAGTTCAAGAGTGTCGTCGATAGACGAACTTCAAGACTTTGCCAAGGGTGCCAATGCCATGCGACGTAGTGCCTCGGCCTCTGACACTGCTAGTAAATATAGAGAAACTGAAGATGCGGAGAACAAGCAATTTGGTGTAGATGACCTTGACTCCTTTTTCAGCGGTGGGCCTCGGTCCAGCAGTGTTCCAAAATCACGAACGACAACTGAAGTAAGAACGACTTTCGCAGTATTACCAAGTTCCACATTACAAGTTTTTTTATGATAAAAATAATGTATTTATATGTGTATCCTTATATTTCTTTTCTGATGCAAAGACAACTCGCAAGCAAACAGTCAACGTGCCGAAAAAGACGCCTAATGGGGTTTCTAGTGCAAAGAAGCCTCCTGCTCCAGTAAATCTGGTGGATGACTTTTCCGCACTTTTTGGAGGTAGATGTTGTGAAAATCATGTTTTCCAGCAATCGGCTACTCTGGTCCAACTTTCTTAATAATGTTTCCTTGTCTACAGAGGATCCTATATTTAGAGAATTTGAGGAAATCCCAGGGGAAAGCGAAGAACGAAGAAAGGCCAGATGGGATCGTGAACAGAGAACAAAGAGCCGTGTGGTATGTGTGGTTATTTTGGTTTTCTTTTGAATCTTCTGCTGCAACCCTTAAATCCTTTTTTCCCCTCTGCAACTTATGATGATATCTGATTACGCTAAATGCTGGTATGATCACTCATGACGAATTTTGATTGTGCCTGAAAGTACTCCTTTGTGTTCAAAAGTTTAGTTATGTTCCCTGGAAAATGCGTCGGAATCAGTTGAAACATATTTCCGAAGTCAGTTTTTCTTTAATGATTTGGTGGTCTTGTTTGCCAGTCCAAAATTGGTGATACTCATAAGTCATAACTGACTGGCATACTGAAACCATTGTCTAGTTTAATGAGTTTTGCTAATCTGTAGCTTGTACTTGATTGTTTATTTTGGTTCTAGATGATTTTTCACAATTCAGTGCCTCTTAAAATGTAGGCACAAGCTGTAGCTGATATGAATAACCGTGATCATCAATCTCGGATTGAACAAGAACAGAGAACTGTAAGTTTTGATTTGCTTGACATTTATGTTTTGGTTTTCATTGTCAGAATGTTAATTTATGGACGATGACTTTTTTGGGGATTTTAGTCTTCATTATGAAAATGCTGTTTTTGACATTTATATTTCTTTTCATGATTTTGTTTTCTAACTCTACGTAGAGTCTCGTTGTTGTCGTGTTTAAATACCAACGATGGTTTCCTTGTTAATCTTGGTTTTCAGAGGATTTCTGAGACTGTTGATGCTGAAATAAGGCGTTGGGCAACTGGAAAAGAAGGAAACATGCGTGCACTGTTATCTTCCTTGCAAATCGTGAGTTTTAAATAATTAGAACACTTGTAAATAAATGTTCTTATGCTTCTGTTTATCCATCTGCTCCTCCTAAGCTCACTGAGACCTTGTTTTGTTTGAACGATGACAGGTACTCTGGCCCGGATGTGGTTGGCAGACCGTTTCTTTAACAGACCTGATCACTTCTTCAGCAGTCAAGAAAGTCTACAGAAAGGCAACTCTGTATGTCCATCCCGATAAAGTTCAGCAGAAAGGAGCCACCCTTGAACAAAAGTATATTGCCGAAAAGGTTTTTGACATCTTGAAGGTATTTTCTCATTGGATCTGCATGAGCAGCTCTCTTTCTAGAATCTAATGTAGACGAAAGTTGACAGAAGAATCTTGATAGTTTAGTTCCCACCAAGAATATTAGTATTTGGACCCACTCTCTGATAGTAATTGGAATAAATCCGGTTCTGTGCCTTGTCTCATGCATCTAGATCCCACAAAGCTTACCTGCATACAAATTTGTATTGAACAGGAAGCTTGGAACAAGTTCAACAAAGAGGAGCTCTCTTAAGCCCATTTGATGCAGATCTAGTATCCTCCCGAGTCTTTCGTTTCAGGTTTGCGAACAGTTGGGTTCCAGTAGACCTTGAAACGGGACTGATTACGTTTTAGCAATGGTTCATTAAGAGGTAGAGAGACACTTGGTGCCTGTCTGTGTCTGTCTCTGTGTGCTTATCTCTCTACACATTAGTCGTCTGTGAGTTGCGTTGAGTCTTATCTTGCTTTTATCTTGCTTTTCTCTAATTTTTCCTGTAACAGTAACGCGGTCCATGCCATCTTTATGCACACCAAACAAAAAAAAACCCATGGGGGATATTGTATAGCCCCAAAAACGGAATAGATTTTCTTTTATATAAATATATTGAATGTCTCTTATTATAGCTATAGCGTATAGATGATTCACTGATGATGTCAATTTCATTCACATGGAATAACAAATTGCTTGTCTCAATGGGTTATGCATACCTACGTTATTATTCATCATACCCTAAACGTGAAGATAACATCTCACATAAGACAGTCGACGTATACTGCACAAAACGGGCTTGAACTCTGGATGTTAAGAGTGTTGTTTATGAACCAGTAAGAGGGTTGGGCTCAAAAAGGAACCTTGAGATATGGATAAGACCACAAGGAGAAGTAGTAGCAACAAAGATCCAAACTACAGACAAGTGTGTCAACTGTCAAGTAGTGCGAAGAAACATCCAAACCATAAGAATCCATTAAAACAACTACGAATTCTCCTCACTATACATTAATAATTGGAGTGTGGGGATCTTTTACGCTTTCTTTTTCCCTCCAAAGTCCAAATACTAGGGGTGGGCATTTAGGTTTTTGGTTTGGTTTCTTCGGTTTTACGATTTATCAGTTTTACAAAAATTCAAACCATGTAAAAGCCATATATATTTCGGTTCGGTATGGTTTGGTTTTTTACGGTTCGGTTTGATATGGTTTGGTTTCGGTTTTTTTAGAATTATACTATTACAAAAAAATTTGATTCTAATGGAAATAATAATAATAATTGCTATGAGTGAAAAAAAAAGTTCAAAAAATAGAATCTAAATCATAACAAATTCATCAATAAGTACAGATTTTAAAACAGAGAAACAAACAAATTATCAAATTTTTCATAATCAATAATTATAAAACAATAAACAAATCTAGATTAAAATTTAATACCTATAATCTTGGAACTAGAACTAGAAGACTTGAATGTGAAGAATAAAGAATTAATCACGTTTTTATTAAAAAATTAAGGTTTAATTTATTATATATATGTAGATATTTTTTATAAATATTATATTTTAAATTTATGAGTTAAGTTAATCATATAATATATAAAAGTTGATGGCATAGAACATTGAGAGCGTCCACATGAGATATAAAAACTCGATATGATTGGTCCATATCAGCATATTCGTTAAATAAAAAAATATTAAGTATGATTAGGATGAAAAAACTTGGAAACTATAAGCCCAATAATAAAATATGTACCTAAAGTAAATTAAGAAACTAGGAAAATATAAATAATTTAAAATTTAGTTTAACAACCGAAAAAACTTTTGGTTTGACGGTTTTTAACCAAACCAAACCTAAACCAAAATTATAAAAAATTAATGGCCAAACGGATTTTTAGGTTTAACCATAACCAAACCATATCACTTTTTTCGGTTCGGTATAGTTTGATTTTTTCGATTATAGTTTTTGTGCCCACCCCTATCAAATACAGAAAGTAATATACAGTAGCGACATCTTTTAAATGACAAAAGAGAGGTCCATAAATGACCATAGCCATTCAATCTTGACCATGTGACATGTAAGATTTCTAGAATAATTGTATATTGTTTGTACTTTTTAGATACTTTTGCTATTTCAAATATTTGTATTAACATAAATAAACATGCTAGCTAAATCTATGATATGATCCTGATACGCTAGGATATCTGTAATTTAATATATATACATGCGTATAATCTAAATATAAATTTTGAAGATATGTATTTCTGGTTTCTATCAAATTTCCTAGATTTTATCTGCCTCAAATCATTATTTTCCGATATTGTCAAAATGATGTATTGTGTATTCTCTCCTCCATCACCTTCAGTGCAGGTTTGATATTTTTCCATTCTCAAATACAGTATGAGATTGTAATTGATTAATTGATTCCATATCACACAATCTTAATCAACAATGGAAAATTCTTTTATTAGACAAATACAAAGCAAAAACAAATGTGGCAAATTCAAAGGGGAATGATATTTTTCTCTTATTTAGTTGATAGAAGTAGAAACTTCCCGAAATGGCTAAATATCATCTAAGTAGTAGTAGTATCTCTGAAGTCAACCAACGTGTCAGTATCATCCACGTCAGCAGCATTTCCACCTATAAAATGTTCCCGCCAATTGCCAAATCCCAAACAATCTAAACAGCTAAACAGTCTCCGCCATGAAAATCAATAATAACTCGACTCTCTTCTTCTCCCTCCTCCTCTCTCTCCTCTGTTTATCGTCGGCTCTATCGAATGAGAAGCCTCAGGTTTCGAGTGGCTCGACCATATTGTTCACGACGATAGGGAAGCCTACTTTCGAATTCGACATCTACGTTCTCCCTACGAGCCGTCGTCCGCCGTCTCCTTCCGATGAACACCGTTTGACAGACAGCAAATCCATTAATTACAATGGCCATTTCGCTTCTCCTTCGCCGGCACTAACCCACCTTCATCCCAACGGTTCTCAGATCAACCCACAAGATCCAAATCTTTTGAATCTCTTCTACGTCACCGAGATAGACGGCACGCCCAGCTTACGCTACGGCGTCGTTCACGGAGATAACTCTGGAACCAGTGCTCAGATTCCGTTATTGCCAGAGCAGAGTGTGGGTTCGATGAAAGATACTCCTGTTTTGACCAACGACTATCTTCTTTACGTGTCCACACACGAGGATCCGGGTAAGCCCAAGGTGAGTTGGGCCGCCGTCTACTCCACTGAGTTACGAACTGGAACGACTCGGCGGTTGACACCTCCTGAAATCGCTGATTTTTCACCTGCGGTGTCTCCGTCTGGGAATTGGACAGCCGTGGCTTCGTACGGAGAGAAAGGCTGGAGTTTGGTAGCGAAAGAGCTTAGTTCTGATATTTACGTTTTTCTGACTCGGGATGGGACTCAGCGAGTCAAGGTTGTCGAGCAAGGCGGGTGGCCGAGGTGGTTGGACGAGTCGACTCTGTATTTCCACCGGATGAGCGACGACGGATGGATCAGCGTGTACCGAGCGATTCTACCGAAAACCGGACCGATTTCCTTAAAATCTGTGACGGTTCAACGAGTCACGCCACCTGGTATTCACGCGTTCACACCAGCCACGTCACCAAACAACCACGACTTCATCGCGGTGGCGACGAGGAGGCCCGGAACGGAAATTCGCCAGGTGGAACTTTTCGACTTGAAGAAGAACGAGTTCGTCGAGCTGACTCGGCTCGTTTCGCCCACGAGTCACAACTTCAACCCGTTTCTTTCTCCTGACGCGTCCCGTGTGGGATACCATAGTTGCAGAGGCGACAGGTTAATGGGACGAAACGCTCCTCGGAATCTCCTTCAGAACATCAAAACCACTTCCAAGGACCTCACTCTCTTCAGATTCGACGGCGCGTTCCCGTCTCTCCCGCCGGAAGGTGACCGATTCGCGTTCGTCTCTTTCACAGGCGTTTACGTGGTGAAACCAGACGGTTCTGGTCTTCGCCAATTGCTCCCACAAATGGGATTTGGAACAGTTTGGGATCCAATTCGACATGGAATCGTGTACACGAGCTCAGGTCCCGCCTTAGTTCCAGGGAAAGCTCACAACCAAGTCGACATCCTCGCCATCAACGTCGATGATCCCAACCCGTCAACCGCCGTTAAAAAACTAACGACCAACGGCGAGAACAACGCCTTCCCGTGGCCATCACCCGACGGAAAACGTATCGTGTTCCGATCTGATCGATCCGGTACCAAAAACCTCTACATAATGGACGCAGAGAAAGGCGAAGCCGGTGGTTTGTTCAGGCTGACGAACGGAAACTGGAACGACACGATAGCCACCTGGTCTCCAGACGGTAATTGGATTGTTTTCGCATCGAACCGGGAATTTCCCGGTACGTTGTTGATGGATTTGTATGTGGTTCACCCGGACGGAACCGGTTTAAGGAAGGTGTCGGAAGACTTGACCGGTGCTGTATCGATGCATCCGATGTTTAGTCCCGACAGTAAGACAATAGTGTTCACTACTACTTACGCCGGGATCTCCGCGGAGCCGATCGGAAATACGCATTTTAACGTCCCGAGTAGTGAGATCTTTACCGTGAATTTGGACGGCTCTGAATTGACGAGGCGCACGCATAATCCCGTGGAAGATGGACCACCCTTGTGGTACCCCATGATCAAAGCTACTGGTGACGTGACCTGGCCCAAGAGGTTTGGGCCTAGCTGCTCTTTTGAAGATTTCAAGTCGCAAAATACGACAGTGAAAATGAATAAGCGGGCGATGATGTGTGTTCCTTCACAATAGTTTGTTACTACTTATTCTTGAAATTCAATAACTTGTTATAGATGATATAGTATTGGAGTTTTCTAAGAAATAATAGTTACCCAGTTTTCTAAACGACCAATAATTTATTTTTCTTTAAAATGTTCTAATAAGAACACACTAAAGAATAACTTTCTTTTTTTTAACGATAGGCTTAGCATGTTACAAAGTTTTTATATATGTTTATGGGCAATGTAGTTTTAAATTTTGTCTGTATAATTTATGCTGTAAGTTTTTTTTGCTGTAACTTTAAATTTGTTGCTATAGAATATATTATATTAAAATATTTTTTTTATAAATATATAAAGTATAAAAACAGAAATAAAATATGTAAGTAGCATAAATGAAAAAAAAGAAATAATAATTAATGAATCATAGGGAAGGAAGAGAAAAAGTCAAGCTAAATTTCTTAAAATTAAGCTGTAAAAATTTTGCTATATGCAGCACTTAAAAAAGATCATTGATGCTGTGATTTTTGTTAAAAAAAATAAAACATGATTAATTAAATATCTGAACTTTACAATTTTTTTTGCTGTGTATAGTATCTACAGCAACTACCAATCATCCCCTATGTTAAGACACAAACACCTCTTTCTTTTTTTTTAATATGTCGTTCTTACGTAAATATTTTTGTTAGAAACTCGAAGTATGAGTTCTGAACAATAAACTCATATAACAGTTACATGCTCATATTTGTTATATAACTTGATAGAAATATAGATCGTGCTGGATGTGGATAGACCAAAGACTATTTTCTCCAAAGATTGTGTTGTCATCCAATACAAGAGAAGAAAAATCTTTAAGCAGTGGTGAACTTACAAGTATAATTTCATAAGTGTTTGCCACGTGTTAACATTATCTCGAAAGGGCCCTACAATACCACAATAACGTCATCTCTTACACCACTCTCTGAAAAATTTCTCCGCCTTATAAGTCTTCGAGTACTGTCTCTACTTGGTGGCCATCCACCGACCAATCTGCCATGGATATTGCTCAGTTGCTCCTATTCGCGTCCCTTCTTCTCCCGCTTCACGCGTCAGCGGCGAAACATCAGAGTTCAAATTCCGGCAGTGGCGACACCATCGTCTTCACCACTTTAGGACGATCGCACTACGAGTTTGACATATTCGCCCTCTCCACGAGACATCCGCCATCGATTTCGAGAGAGCTCCGGATCACAGATGGAGAATCCGTAAATTTCAACGGCTATTTTCCATCTCCTTCTCCGGCGCTCATCTCTCTCCTTCCCGACGAAACCTTAATACAGCCTGAGCCGGAAGATTCGTCTCCTCTGCATCTCATCTACGTCACCGAGAGAAACGGTACCTCTAGCATCTACTACGATCTGATTTACGGCGGCGATTCTGATTCCAAAAGGAATCGACGAGCGATTTTAGAAGCACCATCTCGAATCCCGGTTCCGTTGTTATCAAACGCTGTTCATCGGAGTGTCACGACCGTAAATTCGTTTAAAGATAAGCCAAGTTTGAGTGGTGAGTTTCTCGTTTACGTGTCAACGCACGAGAACTCAGGTGAGCCGAGGACGAGCTGGACCGCTGTTTACTCCACCGAGTTAAGAACTGGGTCAACTCGACGGCTGACACCGAGTGGAGTCGCCGATTTCAGCCCTGCGGTGTCGCCTTCCGGAAATTGGACTGCGGTGGCTTCGTACGGAGAGAGAGGCTGGACAGGGGAGGTTGAAGAGCTTAGTACGGACATCTACGTATTCTCGACTCGGGATGGGACTCACCGGGTAAAGGTGGTGGAGCACGGTGGTTGGCCGTGTTGGGTTGATGACTGGACTCTGTATTTCCACAGAAGGAGCGACGACGGTTGGATAAGTGTGTACCGAGCGATCTTACCTGAAAACGGAGCGTTGACTATAGAGTCAGTGATAGTTCAGCGAGTCACACCACCGGGCGTTCACGCTTTCACACCGGCCACCTCACCCAACAACCACGATTTCATAGCGGTGGCGACGAGGAGGCCAGGCAACGATTACCGCCACGTGGAGCTGTTCGATCTCAAGAAGAGAGAGTTTATCGAGTTGACTCGTTTAGTGGCGCCCAAGAGTCACCATTTGAACCCTTTCCTCTCCCCTGATTCGTCCCGAGTCGGTTACCATAGTTGCAGAGGTCAGGCTAATGGAAGGAGAAGTCCTCTGCTTCTCCTCGAGAACATCCAAACGACAACAACGGATCTCTCTCTCTTCAGAATCGACGGTTCGTTTCCTTCATTCTCTCCGTCAGGTGATAGAATCGCATACGTGAAAATGCCCGGTGTGTACGTGGTGAGGCCGGATGGTTCGGGCCGGCGTGAAGTGTACAACGGGATGGCGTTTTCGACAGCTTGGGATCCGGTTCGACCAGGAACAGTGTACTCTAGCTCAGGTCCAACGTTCGCTACAGAGAGGACAGAGGTTGATATCATCTCCATTGACGTCGACGCAGCAGACACGTCATCTTCCGTGAGAAGGCTAACCACAAACGGGAAGAACAATGCTTTCCCATGGCCATCTCCTGACGGGAAACGAATCGTGTTTCGTTCGGGTCGGACCGGTCATAAAAACCTCTACTTAATGGATGCTGAGATAGGCGAAACCGGCGGTCTATGGAGGCTAACCGAAGGTGCGTGGACCGACACGATGTGCAGCTGGTCACCTGATGGAGAATGGATCGCGTTTGCATCAGATCGAGAAAGCCCTGGCTCGGGTAGCTTCGAGCTGTTCTTGATCCACCCGAACGGAACAGGGTTGAGAAAACTGATCCAGAGTGGCTCCGGTGGGAGAACTAACCACCCGATCTTTAGCCCGGACAGTAAAAGCATAGTGTTCACATCTGATTACGCTGGGATCTCAGCGGAACCGATTTCGAACCCGCATCATTACCAGCCGTATGGTGATATCTTCACGGTGAAATTGGATGGCTCTAATTTGAGGAGGCTGACGCATAACTCGTATGAAGATGGGACACCCGCATGGGCTCCTCGGTTCATCAGTCCTAGTGACGTGGTGTTGCGCAGGAAGAAGAACGATTCGAGTTGCTCCTTCGATGACTGTCACTGGCTCAACAAGAACCCCACACTAAAAAGCCAAAAAATATCATGTTAATATGTATAATTTTGCACACATCTGCTGCTTCAGTGTAAGATGTATTCCAGCTTTGAACTATAGTTATAGACGTGTACGAGAGAATACGGATGCATATGTATATCATGTTGAATAATACTGTCATATAGTATCATATATGCATAAGATGTTTGTATTAACGAGACTGTTAATGTATATATCAACAAGAGCTTTGTTTCTTTTTTTTCTTAATTTAAGAGCTCCCAAATACACAGCAAACCTTCTGACTGAGTTGGAGTGTTTATGGCGGGAGCGGGAAAACCCAGAAAACGTCATACTACAGGTTATAAAGGAGTCTCTTCGTCACAGGGGAATGTGAAAGATAAATAAATTAAAAAAGAGAAAAGAGGGATGGCGCCAGTTCTTCAGAGCTCACAGCCATGGGTTGAGAAATAGTACGATTTTTCTTTTTTTCTTCCTTGTTTATGCTTTCCGTTGACGGAAATGGTATCGGATTTCTCAATGTTTTGTTTTCGAATTTGGTTTCAAGCCGGCCGAAGCAGGTGAAGGACGTGGCGCACCAGGAGGAGGTGGTACGGGTCCTCACCAACACGCTCCAGACTGCTAACGTAATTTGACCCAGACTCTTCGCTATCTGGAATTGAATTCGAATTTCGATTTTGTACATTGGGGTTTCGGGTACAAGTGTGAAAACCCTAGATGTTGAATTCGGATCTCGCTCAATTCTGGGTTTTTTTGCTTCTTTTGATTTTTGTCGTTGCAGTGTCCGCACATGCTCTTTTATGGACCGCCGGGTACCGGAAAAACCACTACCGCACTTGCCATCGCCCACCAGCTATTCGGGTAATCAATCATCTGATAATGCCGAGACTCTGATTTTAAGTGTGCTTCAATTTTATACTATGCAAGTAGTTTCTGATGGATATTTGATTGATTCATTTTTGTGTGGTAAATTCCATGAGACCTTGTGACCTCTAATGTGGATGCATTCAGGTTTGTGATTCAGATATGTGGATGCTGAGATTACTCACTCTCTGACTGTGTGGTTGCATTATGATATATCAAGTACTCCCATTAGGATGATAATAGTAGCAGACCATTATGGTTTTGAATCTGGATTTTATCCTCTTTTCAAGCTAGATTGTCATGTTCTTCATTCCATGAGTGTTTCAAATGAGTTAGTTTAAGCTTATTTGTGGGTTTATATGACAAACGTATATCGTGAGAGTGTCTTTGGTTTGCTTTTTCATTTTGCTGTGATTGCGAGCTGAATTTTGCAGATGTGACTTGTGAACTAACTAAAAGAGTTTTTTTTTTTCACAGACCTGAATTATACAAGTCTAGGGTGTTGGAGCTGAATGCTAGTGATGACAGAGGGATTAATGTTGTTCGGACAAAGATCAAGGATTTTGCTGCTGTAGCTGTTGGGACTAATAACCGTCAAGGGTGTGCTAAAACTTTTATTTTGTTTGGCTTTCGTCAAGTTTATTTTTGCCAGTTTCTAGCTTCTGTTTCTGTGTATGAGGTGTATTTGATCTAAGACTTCGATATGATATTTCAGCGGTTATCCTTGCCCATCATTTAAGATCATAATCCTAGATGAGGCTGATTCGATGACGGAAGATGCTCAGGTACATTGAAAGTCTTTAACTAACACATTCTGTACATTTAAATGTGCTTACCATGGACTCTTTTACTGATTGTGCAGAACGCCTTGAGGCGCACAATGGAAACTTACTCCAAAGTCACTAGGTTCTTTTTCATATGTAATTATATAAGCAGGTAATTTCTTTTACTATGGTACCTAAATGTTGGTAAATTTTGTCTTCCGTTTCATTTGCATCTCCCTCGCATTTGTTCTTTTTGGGTATGTTGAATGGTTGCTTTTTGTTTATTGGCTCGTAAGTTTTATGATTGGAAGTACAGTACTAGTAGATAACATTTTCACGCTGAACTATGAACCCACCAATAATTTTGATCACCCTTATCATTTTCATTTCTTATTATCAAGGATCATTGAGCCCCTTGCTTCAAGATGTGCGAAGTTCAGGTTTAAACCACTTTCTGAAGAAGTCATGAGTAACCGTATATTGCATATTTGTAATGAAGAAGGTCTCAGCCTTGGTGGAGAGGTGCGCACATTTGCTTTAAGGCTTGCCTTTCTTTCGTTTAGCCTTTTGCCAAATCTGCTTTACACTAGCTATTTTCTGTGTAGGCTCTTTCAACTTTGAGCTCCATATCACAAGGTGATCTCCGTAGAGCCATCACATATCTGCAGGTTAGATGATACTCTCTGTGAAAATATAGTCATTGGACGAAATTAACTGTGATTGTGAAATTTGATCCAGTCTTTGTACTTGAATATTACAGAGTGCTACACGGTTGTTTGGATCAACGATAACTTCTAAGGATTTACTCGATGTATCTGGGGTAAGGATAAAGAGAATCCACTCTTTGGGCAAGTTTATAGTACAGAAAAAACTCAGTCAGATAGTTAATGTGGGTGTCTTTTGGACCTATCAGGTAGTCCCTGTGGAGGTAGTGAAGGGACTTTTCACTGCATGCAAAAGTGGCGATTTCGATATTGCAAGCAAGGAAGTGGATAACATAGTTGCAGAAGGATTTCCTGCATCTCAAATCATCAATCAGGTTTTCTATTTCACTCTTTTATTCATCGCACATTTTAAAGTCTCGCAATTCTGGTTATAAACCATACTTCTAATGCAATACTCCTTTCAGTTATTTGACATAGTCGTTGAGGCTGGTGATGACATGACGGACATGCAAAAGGCTAAGATCTGCAAATGTCTAGCTGAAACAGATAAGGTGAGACTTCTCTTCTGCTAGATTCTCTTTTAAGACTCATGTGATATCAGTTACCAACATTCTTGCTCGATTAAATCACAAGTTTTGAGTGAAGTTCACATCTTTAGATTCTTGTCTTTCATTATTATCAGAATCTGTAGATAAGCGTATCAATGATTGAAAAAAAAAAGAAAAAGATAGTGTCTCATCGTGTTCCCTTTTTGATGCATCCAGAGACTTGTAGATGGCGCGGATGAGTACCTGCAGCTTCTGGACGTGGCAAGCAATACAATTTGTGCACTCTCACAAATGGCTCAAGACTTCTAAAGCAAAAATACCCTTTCAAGTTTAAAGCTCTGCGTTTTGACTTGATTTTGGTTTTGGTTTTGCTTTGTGTTGGGTTTGAAACGGACCTCTGCCTTATGGGTTGTCATAATTCTGACATTTGTCGAGTTATTAAATGCTGCTTGTCACAGTTTGTTTTTGACAAAACAAAGTTGGGAGTTACAACTGAAAAAAGTTGTCTTTTTTAGACAAAACAAGAATTTGCTGTTTACTCTTTTATGCTGTTACAAAGGTCTTGTTGACTCAAAAATAATTACAAATCCTCAAAGCAACAAGAAATCTATAGGCATCCATTTTCGTAAATTTTCACTTTATATAATAAGAAAAATAATCAAATATGGTATTATTTTGATTTAGAGTTATGTTTTTAGTATTATATTACTTTTTTTTCCATTGAGATATATATATGTACATACCTTTAGTATTACTGAGATCCTCCAAAAAAGTCAAAAGATAAAAGTGTAATAACTAACAAAGATCCTTTACATCCAACATAAAAAGAAGGTTTGAATACACACAGACAATCTATAGAAAACATTAGTAAGTAATACCATCAATAAATTCTGTGACGAATTCGTTGAATCTCAATAGTTTTACAAAAAAACTGTCGAATACTGGCTACGCTCTAAAAATAATTGATCTAAACTATAAGTAGAGAAGTTGTTGATATCCTTTTAAAACTAATAATCACAGAAACGTTTTTGTTTTTTGTGTTTTTTTGGAGGTTCGAATGGTTGATGGCGAAGCTTCTTTCAAGAGACCCGGGTCTGTGCCTTTTGACTGGGAGATCCGACCCGGTGTACCCAGGACCCGAGATCCGCAACCGCATCAGCCCAGTCGTCTTCAACCTCCCAAGAATCTTCCTCCTCTCCGATTAAAACAACTTCCGCCGTCGAATCCGCCATCTCCGTCGCTGTCTTCTTCTTCTTCTTCCCTATCAGACTCCAAAACCCGCCGAGTCTCTCCCTTCGCTCCTCCTACGCCTCTCAAGCCGTGTCCAGGCTCCCACTCTTCTGGACCTCCGACTCCATATTGGCGATCTTCATCAGCTCGACGACCCAGTTTCAATTCCGGTGATGGTTTGCGCCGGTGGCGTTTTCTCAAGTCATTGATTGGGTTGAAGAAGAGTAAGAGCGGCGATTCAAAAAAGACCGGCGAGGAGTCGTCATCGTCGGGATCTGAAAACTTCTATGACTTGGAGTCGACGTTTACCCCGTCGTCGGAAGGTTCTAGCCGTTCGGGTTTATCGAGTTGGGGTTCGCCGAAATCGTCATTCTCTCCTCCTCCGCTTGATTCGTCTTTGAAACGCCAGACATCTGATTTGGGCTTTTATGTTAAAAAAAACCCTTTCAATGATTTCTCGTGATCGAATCTAGTATATACATATTTCTTTCATCTCTAATATTATTTGTCAGCATGGACTTTAGAATGTTCTTACGAACGTTACGTTTGTTTGACCAAAAACCAAATAATTTTTTTTTTTGAGCTTAAAGTTATAATCTATTAATTAATTGAACAATACATAGTCAATGCCATTCACCGTTTGGCTTGTCTTGATTTGGTTGACCAAAAAAAATTTGAGTGAGCGGTTTCATTGTGGAAAATATCGAATTCACATGATTCCACTAGGTAGAGAAAAGGTTTGTGAAGAGAGAGACAAGAGACATAGATTTTTGGTAACTGTTTGATTCACAATGATGATTTCAGAAAGTTTCGATACTACAAGACACTAACTTAGAACAACACTACGGTCTCTCATAGCAAATAACTTTAGCTCAAAATAACAAAGGCAAAATAAGATTTGGAAACCGATAAGCTAAATAAGCTAGAGATGATGGGTCTTAGTTTAAGCCTAGGCCGGACCCGGAGCCAGAACCCGTGGAAGACCTAACCATCGGGTGACTAAACGAAGGTTGGTTCATGGATGCTGCTGCTGCTGCAGGGTTATTAAGCTGGTTGTTGCCAAACATCACATTTGGTGAAGCCGTTGACCCTGCATTGGTCTGTATCGCATTCAGAGGCAACCTCGGGCCAAATGCGAACCCTTGTTGTTGTTGTTGTTGTTGGCGTGCCATGAACTGCATCTGCGCATGAACTTGTGGGTTGTTGCTGAATCCTGGGATGATGCTTGGTTGAGAAGAGCAAGCTGAGACTTGCTGTTGTTGCTGCTGCTGGAGGAGAGAATTGATGTTGTTACCACCTGTGGATAGAGACATGCCTTGTAGGTTATTATTGTTATTCGTCTGTGGAGAGATTCCTCCGGGTGATCCAAATCTTGCGGAGAGCATACGTGCTCGCTCTGCTGCGAATCTCTGGCGGGTTTTCTCTACTTGTTCGCATTCTTTCATCAACAATGTTTCAATCTCTGCAAACTGCTTTAGCTTCAGCTCCATCCTCTTCAGCTGTGGGATTATATAACTCATATCAGCAATCGACAAAACGAATCAATTATCATTATTAAATTGGTTTTGCTGTTTACCTGGTGATTGACTATATTTGCAGAAAGCCTTTGGATTTCGCGTTCCTCATGATCAGCAAACAGTTTTGCTTTCGTTGCTGCAGCTGATAGACCGGCTCTAAAGGCTGCCATAACCTTATCCTGTGGCAGTGGAGTTTGTGGTTCTGCTCCGTTTTGGCTTGCCGTTTTCTGTGCTCCCGAGTTTTCTTTGACAATTAAAAGCAAGCAAGTAGTGAAGCTTAGATTAAAACAAAGGAGACAAGCAAAAAAATGATTGTAACGAGAACAAGCAAGTAACTGTCTTACCATCTAGCTGCTGATTTTCTCCATCAATCAAGCTGTGTTCTTTTCCTTGTAATCCCCCAGATTTCATCCTTGATAGATTGAAAAGTTTCAGTATAGTCCAGAGGATTTATAAAAAAGTAGCGAGTGAAAGCTTCCACATAAATTTAACAATGGATAAAGATCACGGTATACACTAACCTATCATCATCCTGAGATAAGACAGCAAGGGACTCATGGGCACAGGACGCAGCAACTCGAGGTCCAACAGCTGATGCCAAAAATGCAACCTAACAATGTTTCGGTATCAGGATCATCATATCCCAACACTCACATATATATCAGAGGACCAACTCTTTTCCACTCTAAATCTATGCATACAATATCTCTAACTGGTGAGATCATAAGGATAATGAGAAGAGTAAATGAATTCTGCAACGAAAAAATTTCACAAACCAATGCCATAACCGGATTCGGAGACTTCACAAAAGGAAGTTTGATCTCAGTGTCAGAATCTTGCTCAGAAGATCCTGCAGAACAAAGTGAACAATGAGTATGGCATGTCAAAGAACATAAACCACATAGCTAAAAATCGTTTGAGATGAAGAAAACAAAATCACCAGGTAAAGCCCCATTTGAATCTGTTCCTTTGTGGTCATATCCAACTGTAAGGTTTGCCGAATTAGTTACACCTGGAACCTCAACATCATCTAAAAGACCATCCTCCACAGGTAATCGAAGAAAATGAAGAATGCATTGAGCTTTTGACTTGGAACCAACATGCTCCGCAATCTGAATCCAGTTCTCATTGTAGAGTTCCACAGCTTCGAGAAGCAGGAGAGTTTCCTGGTCAGTCCAATTGTCTCCATCTTGATCTCCATACTCTTTGGATGTATCCACTCTTACAAAGTCAATACAAGAATGTCCGACAACAAATCTTGCATTGTGAAAACAATCAGAGCATAAGAGTATATCCCCCTGTAAAGTAGAGATCATGACCGTTTAGTTTGAAGCGCTCAAATGTCAGATCATGAAACACAAAGAACAATATGTAACGAAAGCAGGCTAAGAACCTTCTTTTGCGATTGGAAGTATACAGTTGGAAGCGGTCGAGAACAATGGTTGCAATGATTCTCGCATAGGTGTTCACGAATCCTGATGTCCAAGTCAGGGAGGTCACCATCGGAACATGACAAGGACGACGAATAGACTTGGGCTGACTTGTGTCTACAGTTAGGCTTATCAAATTTGATCAAACTATCAATAGATGTTAGAGCAGCAGATGGCACATGGACCTCACCATTTGTATCCTCCCTAACATCTGACACATCCCTAGAAGGCCCAGGATGACATTCCGTAGTGGCACAGTAATTGATTATTCCCCAGTGATCAAGAAAACGGAAAACACGAGCGAAATCTTCAGCGTCCACACCATCTACCAATCTTTGGCAATCAGAAATCGTCAGTGTCTTCTCAGGGTTTTCCATATATTTTGAAACGATGGCGTTCCTGAACTCCATGTAACTTTCAGGTGTATGATTTGGCGATTTTCCAGAGAAGAATTGTGGGACTACTTGTCTTTCAAGCCGATCCACTGTGTTTGGTGCAAACCAATCTGCTCAAATGTAACAGCAAAGGTAGAAGAATTAAAAGCGATGAGAAAATAAGAAAATGAAGAGGCAAATCACAGGACTACAGGAACATTCCCTAAGTGATCCTATTATCGTTCAAGGTACAATTCTGATTGTAGCTTTACAGAACATGATGCTTTCAGAGTAACATAAACTAGATGAAATGAAGTTAAGAGCTTTAGCATAAAGAGCATACACTTTTGACAATTTATGTGCAAATTCATGAATTGGAGGACAAAAACACAAACCTGAATGCATAGGCAAGACATGAACCAGATCTCCAAATCGTTTAACAACTCCTTCTCCTTCCATGATAGGTGGTGGAGAGATAACGTAAGCCGCCGAAGACGCTCCATCACTCTTCTCAAGATCAAGGGTCAGAGAATCAGCCGGTACAGTAGATAACGCCTGCAATTGCCCATACGAGATATTCTCCAGAGCCGGAAGCGAGCCTTGCCCTTTAGTCTCCCCTATCAAACAAGCTCTCTCAGCCGCCACAACAGCCGTTACAGACGCGTGTGGCCGGATCACCACGCGCCTGACCACCGCCGGGAAATCAGAGATACGAGTACCGCAATCTTCTACTAACTCGCCAATACCGGGTCCCGGATCGGGAGTTGCGCCGCCGTTCTGCTGAAGCTCGTCGGCATTATCAACGTCCTCCATCTCGTCGTTGTTGTTATTGTTCTCCTCGTCCTCTTCCTCCATATCTTCCTCCTCCTGCTTCGGTTTCCTCGCCGATAATCCCCCTCGCTTCCGCCGTTTCCATTTCCCCCTTCTATCTGCGACGGAAAAACAAAAAGGGAAAATCAATTCATCCGAATTCTCGCAGAGTCTAATATACCCATAGATACGATCTATGTGGACAATTCAAAAACCAATTCAGACTTGGATTTTTGAGGGAGATAAAGATGGAAAGTCGTTTCCATATGCAATCTACCTTCAGAAGCTGGCATTTTTTAGGTGAAGACAGAGAGAGAGAGATGCGTGATTCTTGAGAATTGAATGAAAGTAGGAGGAGAACTGCTTTCTTCGTCCCTCTCTTCTACGCTCCGAGTCGCACTCGTTTCCAGCTCTCGAGCAACACAGCAAATCTCCTTGGAATTTCTTTCGCCATTTTCTTCGCTACTCTCTGTAATTTATTCATTCTCGAGGGCGACCTAACCTTCTCGACTAACAAGCGGGTTTGGAAGACGGAGGAAATTCAAGCTTCGGTGACCAATCCGGATTTCGGTTGAGAAAATACAAAACCATATTCTAGTCGGTTTAGACTAATACGGTTTGCTTTAGATATGAATTCAAATACTTTCAGTTTAACTAAAAAAAACCATTTTAGTAATGAAATTAAGCTGAATCATTTTTTTGTCAGTTCGATATGGGGTGGATTACAACAACTTTCTCACATATAAAAAGATACAAACCGAATCATTAGGATTGGACCGATTGGTTATATACATCTGGTACTTAAGGATTGGTTATCGTTAGAATTGATTCGGATTCTGTTCAGTTAAAATCGGATTAACCGGGCACTCCTACTTCTGATACATTAGGATTGGGTTACATTAGCAGTTGTCCGTCGCGCACAAGTACTACACTAACTGGCGTGGTTCCGTTTACAGTTAACGGCGATGAAGAGATCTCGGGCCACGTCTCCACCGTCGATCTCTGCCGCCGCGAAACAACAAATTTCTCCTCCGGCCACGCCGATTCTTAGACAGAAGCTACACAAAGCAGGAGTACCAAAGTGGTTCCCGTTGAAACTCACCCAGACAGAGCTCACTCTACCGTTAACTTTTCCGACGGGTCAAACATTCCGGTGGAAGCAGACCGGAGCGATTCAGTACAGCGGATCGATTGGGCCTCACCTCGTGTCTCTCCGACAGCGTCCAGGAGACGACACAGTATCGTACTGCGTCCATTGCGGCACTAGCCCTAAAGCCGCGGAGCTCGCGCTGCTCGATTTTCTGAACGCCGAGATCTCGCTAGCGGAGCTATGGTCAGATTTCTCGGAAAAGGATCCTCGTTTCGGAGAGCTAGCGAAACACCTCCGTGGCGCGCGTGTGCTGAGGCAAGATCCGCTCGAGTGCCTGATACAGTTTTTGTGCTCATCGAACAACAACATCGCGAGGATCACGAAGATGGTGGATTTCGTCTCGTCTTTGGGATTGCATTTGGGTGACATTGACGGGTTCGAGTTTCATCAGTTCCCATCACTGGACCGGTTATCTAGGGTTTCTGAGCAGGAGCTTAGAAAGGCTGGTTTTGGATACAGGTGCTTCTTTCATCACTATCTCGATTTACTGCCTTTCTTTGATTTGATCAACTGTAGTGGCTGCTCCTTTTCGAACCAAACAAATGTTATATTCAATTGGCCGTTTAGAATAGGAATTTGCTTAGTGAAGCCAATGGTTTTGTAGAGAATCATTTCATGGATGTTTCTCTGATTGGTTCTGTTTTCAGTAGCAAAGCTCTGATTTTTTTTTTGTTACATCTGGTGGTGAGCAGAGCGAAATACATAACAGGAACAGTAAGTGCTTTGCAATCAAAACCAGGTGGTGGCGATGAATGGCTTCTCTCGCTACGGAAATTGGAACTCCAAGATGCAGTTGCTGCTCTGTGTACATTACCTGGCGTCGGTCCAAAGGTAGCAGCTTGCATAGCTCTGTTTTCTCTTGACCAGCATAGTGCCATTCCCGTTGACACACATGTCTGGCAGGTATATAAAAGTTTCCATCGCATCTTGGTTAAGATCCCAAATATATATATCGGTGATGACGAAAGTTCCAATTTTTGTTTGGTTTTGGGTAATGTATCAGATCGCCACAAGATACCTACTTCCAGACCTTGCTGGTGCCAAGCTGACACAAAAACTCTGCAGCCGAGTGGCAGAAGCATTTGTGAGTAAATATGGGGAATATGCTGGTTGGGCTCAGACACTGCTCTTCATTGCAGAGTTACCCGCACAGAAAGCTCTCTTGCAGTCGTTTTCTCAGCCCATCCAATTGGATAAGCCTGCGGAAAAGAAAACGGAGTGAAGCTAGCTTTGATGCGGTGAGGCCTTGATAGAGAGCATCATCAGCACCGAGAGTTTCAGATGGACCTGTAGTATGTATGCTAGACGCAAGGCTGTGTGTAGATTCAAGAGCTAAGAATCGAGGCTAATTCACAACGCTAATGCAGCATTTAACCTTCTCTTCAGAGATGGAGAAGGAACACATTTCCTAGGAAATTCAACAAACATTCATACTTCAAATCGCTTTTATTGTAGTGTGACTTTGATTAGTAAAATCTACGGTGTGAATCAAAATACTAATATCTTCTCCATCATATACGGTTTGGTAGATGAAAATTTGTACAAGTAGAGGTACTATACAAGCCCATAGGCCCATAAAAGGCCCAACGAATTATATTGAATTGGCGAAAAGGAAAAACTCGACTGGAGTTTCTTCCAAGCCACCGCCGACTTTGCTTACTCTCTCTTTCTCCTCCACCTTCTCAGATTTCTTCTCCGAACGGGAAAGCTCCAAGTAAACTGAATACCCTAATTTCCTGATGTCGGTAAGTCGATCACACTCCCAGTTTCTTATTTGAATTTCCGAAACTCAAACTCTTGTTCTTTTTTTTGGGGGAATCAATGATTGATGGCGACTAATCGATGGATTTTCTGGGTATTTTTTCGGCGATGCAGATCTTCGAGTACAATGGAAGTGCCGTTGTGGCTATGGTAGGCAAGAACTGCTTCGCCATCGCCAGTGATCGAAGGCTCGGTGTGCAGCTACAGACAATCGCCACTGATTTCCAGAGAATCTCTAAGATCCACGATCGCGTCTTCATCGGCCTTTCTGGTCTCGCCACCGATGTCCAGACACTGTAAGCTATCGTGCACGAGCTCCCAGATTGCTCCATTTATTTATTCTCTTCTGTAGTTTATAAGATTTTGGTTTTGGTTTGTCTTTTTGGTGTTGAAGGTACCAGCGCCTGGTGTTTCGTCATAAGCTATACCAGCTTCGGGAAGAGAGAGACATGAAGCCTGAAACTTTCGCCAGTCTCGTCTCTGCCATTCTTTACGAGAAGAGGTCAGTGCGTGTGAGCTGCTTTGCTTCATTAGTTGATTTGCTTCAATAGTTTACGTGTGTCGAATCTTGATTATGGACTTTAGTTCGTCTCTGATTCATGACTTAAATGATAAAATTGAGTGTTTTATTTCAGGTTTGGCCCTTACTTGTGCCAACCAGTGATTGCTGGCTTGGGAGAAGATGACAAGCCCTTCATTTGCACCATGGACTCCATTGGAGCCAAGTAAGCTCATATCCTTTCTTGGTTTTGCGTCTCTAATTCGAAAGGGTGTAGTTTTTTATGGTTTAATGTCATTTAGCTTAGTTAGTATAGTGTGTATATTTCTTGTCACTTGTAGTAGATGTTTCTTGGATATCATCATGGAGATTTTGTTGGACTTGTGCGTAGTCATATGAGTCGGAATAGCTCATGATCCCTTTCGTCTTACTTGTGTTGTTTGTTATTTTTTATATCCGTTTCACTTGTGTTAGCTGTTTATAGTACTTGGCTCTACTGTAAATGCAGGGAGCTGGCTAAAGATTTTGTTGTGTCTGGAACTGCTTCAGAATCACTTTATGGAGCCTGCGAAGCAATGTACAAGCCAGATATGGTTTGTCCACTAACAACTTCATCATATTCTTAAATTACCACAGTTATGCGTTGAAGTTTACTAGGTTTAAGGTTCAGTGCTGCTATATATAAGAGGAGAGAATCTTGAGTTTGTGTGATAATTTAGGTTGCATAACACTCGTAGGAATCACAATAGCTACTAGTTTTCTCTTTGGCATCCTCTATTGTACTAGACTTAATGTATACAAAAACTCTGGTTCAAATTGGAATATTCAGGAAGCGGAGGAACTGTTCGAGACGATTTCACAAGCACTTCTCTCGTCCGTTGACCGTGATTGTCTGAGTGGTTGGGGAGGCCATGTCTACGTTGTGTAAGTTTCCATTTCATGTCAATGAGTTTCTTCTTTTCTTCCCGCATATTGTTATCCCAAACTAGTTCTTAAAACATGCTTCCTTGGTGACATATGTTGCAGAACACCAACGGAGGTTAAAGAGAGGATCCTAAAGGGAAGAATGGATTGATTGATGATGCTTCGAGCCAAGTTGTTTTTCGATTTAATCCGGTTTTTAAGTAGAGTAATAACATTCGCATCCCGGTTTAATCATAGAATCTAAGTCCTTCTCTGAAAATTATTATGGCTTCTGGATGAATGTTTGATTTCGCCTCTTGGATATTTTATTTCAATTCGTAGAGTTAACGCATGTACTGTTCTCACTGGTTTCTATTTTTATTTTATTGTTACAAAAAGGAAAGAGAGCAGGGGAAATTGAAAATTCACAATAACCACCAGATCTAAAGCAGTTAAAGCGACTTTCTCCTTTCTCAAACCTCTGTAATTTCTTGTCCTAATTCGATCGGCTTGTTTTGTCTGTTAATCAACAAATAAGTTACCTAGAATAATCCAAATCGGAAGTTGGTCGTGTGATGGGTAACGTGATGGACTCGTTCTTCACCGGTTTCTTTCATTCTATGGGAAACTTCTTTGGTTCTCCACTTGACTTTCTATCTGGAAAATCATGCAGGTAACTTCCAAAACCATCATCTTCTGTTACATCATTCTTCAAAGTTAGTTCATTTGCTTACCGGAAACTATTTAAAAAAAAAACTTACGTGAAACAGTTCGGTTTGTCCATCACCGTGGGATGTCATATGCTACGTCGAGAATTTCTGCGTGGCTAATCTTGCGAAAGCCGCCTTAATCCTAATCGTGTCCTACTTATTTCTATTCTTCATCTACATGTTATACAAAGTTGGGTTTTGGCATTGCATCATTCACGGTTTCTGCAGATTCCTCTGGACTTTAGTCTCCTGTTGGTTCTACATCCTTAGCCATTGCTACAGTTTCTTCTGCTACAATCTGCTACACCCCAAACGCAGAAGAAGACGCAGGAACCGCAGATATACAGAGGATGATGATGATGATGATTACAGTGATGATGGTGGTGGGTCGTTCAGAGACCCTATATCAAGAAGAGAATGCAGAAAGGAAGAGCGCCTTAGAAAGTCTCTGAGACCGAGGAGCCATCGTGTTAGAGTCGGTGTGAGGAAAGACCATCGTACTTCTGACTCGGGTTTGAGCCAACATGCTGTTGGTGTTGGTCCGGGTCATGGTATTAAAGTGAGCAGAGAGTCTAAATTTGCCCGGAAAGGTTCAAAACGAAGAACTCGAGTTCATCGCAAAGCCTGAAATGAATAATGTCAGACTCCAGAACATTCCTTAATTTGTTGTTTAAAAGGTTGCCGCTGAATGCTCGGAATATTTTTTGTTGAAAAAACATCAATGCATTATGGTAGGTTTAATCTTTGCTTACATAAAGACTAATGACTAATGAAAAACATCATCATTTGCATAATTGTCGATATTCTAAGAATAGATAACAACTGGACTTCTCACGGAGTAAGATCCGTCCGACCAAACCAGAGATCCGGCCGCGATACCAGAGATACTCGAAAGACCGTTACGGGAGATTGTAACAATGAAAGACTTCTTTTCGCCCAAAGAGTTAAACGAGAGCGTGTTTGGGTCGACTCTGATGCTTAGTCTAGGATCCGAACTCAACTGTGCCTTGTACGTGGATCCAGCTTTCCCAACGTTTGTGACCGTTCTTGAAAACGTGATATCCGAAGAAGATGACACTTTGGCTGCCATTGAAGGGTAGTTTAGATCTCTCACGGTAAGCTTAGATTCTTTAGAACAAGTAAAGTTGCCGCCCGAGATGGTACCAAGGGCTTGTGATGTGTACTTGAGAGAGCAGAGCATGTTCAAGTAATCCTCTTTGCTTGTTTCGTAAACAAGCCCTGGATCAGCAGCTTTTATCGGGTTAACATGTCCTGATCCATACGCAAACTCCTCTCCTATGTTTCTTGAACCATTCATCCCCCAAGCTGCGCAAAACGTAAGGTTTTAAACTAATGTACGATACCAGTAGTACTTGCTCGAACACATTTTTTACTTACCGGTAGTCATGAGAGCGGATTTGATAGCGGAAGGCGACCAATGAGGACGGAGTGTCTTGACATAAGCAGCTATACCTGCGACATGAGGGCAAGACATTGACGTCCCTGACAAGAAATAGCTATCCACGCTTTCTCCGATCGCTGTGGCTGCTACCGGTGAATATGCTGCGAATATACTCACCCCCGGAGCTGTTATATCCGGCTGCATTCATCACTTTCCAGTGTCAATAACAGACTCAAAAAGATTGTGTATTTGTTCTTGAGTTTTCATCTCAAAAACCAAATATTAGTCCACGCTTTTTATATGATGTACATTTCTATAGTATAGTGTTACCTTCAAAATATCGCTAACGATAGTGTTTGGACCACGAGAAGAAAAAGAAGCAACAATGGGAGCATCTGTGTCCTTAACCGTCTCACTCTTCAGTATGCATCCTACTGGATTTCTAAAAATTATCGAAAAGGTTATAAATATATGAAAATGAAAAGTAGTTAGGTCTAATGAAAGTATGTAAATGAAACAAAAAGTCCCCTTACGGATTAGAGGTGATGTAAGAAATGAGTGATTGATAGTTGGTATCATCTAAAGTGACCACAGGGATAGGATTAAGACGAGGATGATCATTAATAGATACTTTATAGATAACTCCTCTGGCTCCTTTGGCTTTAAGTTCACGAACATCGGTCTGTTTATCACACACCGTGATCTTTCCCTTCACCAAGTCGAGGCAACCCTTATCGCAATTCCTTAAAAGAAAGATTTATGGTTACTTATATACAAAATTATCAGCAAACTATACATAAATTTGGTGTAATTAGTCTGCGTTTCAGTTTACCTTGCTTGTTCTTGAGTACATGAGCTTGAAGCAGTTTTCCCATAAGCGAAAGGATACTTTTCTTCACCTTCGAGGACATTGATTGATATGCCCTGTTTATTTATATTTAACCATGATAGTGATGGTCATGTATATTATCATCTAATCGTAGTGACAAAATAAGACTTACAACTATCGTCTTGCCATCTCCGGTAACAACTTTGGTGACGAGTTTCCGATCAGTGCTACTCGCAGCCACAGTGAGTATCCACGGCGCAATGTTACATGCTTTTCCGGGACTAGGTCCACTGTTTCCGGCAGATGCGACGGTGAGAATCCCTTTCGACATTGCGTGGAACGATCCTATGGCTAGAGTGTCTTTATCAAAAGCATAGTTATCTCCCACGATAGAGATTGTTATAACATCGACCCCATCGGCTATAGCATCGTCCAACGCAGCCAAGATTGCCTCCACGGTACAACCGTCAGGCCCACAAACTTTGTATGAAGCAATTCTAGCAGAAGGCACACCGCCTCTCATCGTCCCCGGTGCTAAGCCGTGGAAACTCTGCCGTTCTAATCTGTTTCCGGCCGCCGTGGAAGACGTGTGTGAGCCGTGACCCCGAATGTCCCTCGCGGAATCCTCGATATAGTACCGTGCTCCGATCACCTTCCTGTACCAAAATTGGAAAATGGTAGGTAACTTGTGACGCAGGTAAACCTTTTCTTATGACACAAGGAACTTTTTACTTGTTGCATGTGAAGTTGTGCCCTCCTGCGCAAGTGCCCTTCCATCTTTTCGGTGGCGGTTCGAATCCATTATCTGCGAAACTCCGAGATTCAGGCCAGATTCCGCCATCGATCACACCGATTATTACATCGCTCTCGATCTCAGGGACATGTTTGATATTGTCACCAAATCCCATAAACTCCCAAGATCTTGTCGTTTGAAGCTGCAAAAGCTCGTTTGGGAATACCGAAACTACTCCATCCCTACCTAAAGACCACACACATATATACCCATCAACAAAACAAATTAGCATGAGTAATTATAATTCAATTTCCTTAATCGTTAACTTGATTGGGTTACATCAAAACTCACTAGTAAGCTTAACTCTTTCAGATTCAGTGAGATTGGCTGCAAAACCATTGAAACTTCTTCCATAGCTTCTAACCAAACAATCTCCTATAGAACTTCATGACAAATACAAGTCTAGTTGGAAAATTATACCATAAGATGAGATAATATACTTTACATAGAGTCAGAGTTTTAACTTAAACCTTGACTCGATAATTTCTCCAAGGATATTTTGATGATGAGACATAGGAACGTAAGCACTCTTTGAAGGAAGAGCTCCCATGTAAATAATGTACACCTGCATTACTGTTGATTAATTATTATTATGGAATACTTTTAGTTCTTAATCCATGGAAGTTCTCAGACGATAAGAAAACCGAAGGAATAAATTTTACTTGCCTTTCTATCGTGCTTTGTGGCTATTGAAATCTGACAGAAGCTTATGAGAAGAATTGAGAAAAGACATTGGACCAAGATTAAAGAATCCATTTTTTTTTCAGAGGTTTGTATAATATTGATAAAAGTTGATTGGTGAATGGTCAAATTGCTACAACATGGGGGTGAAATGTTACATGTTTTGATAATTATTATATATAGATTTTTTGCTTTTATGACAATGAATTGATAATGGATTTTATGTTAAGTTATTGATATGATGCATAATATGGAAAATATATTTCTTAGTTAACCTACTGAAATATGAAAGAAATCAAGCCCTCAAATTGCTCACCAAAAGCTACAAGTCAATGTATCATGTATGTTATTATGGTACTAATCTTTTGTTCTCTTGACTTGACTTTTCATGTTTCAGAGATGATAGTTCTAGGTACCCAGAGTGAAAGTAATTTGACATTCAAAATCTCTAAGAACACTTTTATCAAAAGTGTTTCACTAAGCATCTATATATAAAAATAAAATAAAAAAGAAAGTGAGATTACGGCTCTCCTTTCAGAAACTCTAAAATACTCTCCTGGCAGTTATTAAATATGTATTTTCTTGTGAGTAACTCAATCTATTTTTTTTATCTCAAATAAATTAAAAAATAAAACTATGCAAAAGCTACTAATATAATATTAAATGAGATATTCTATTGAAAAACTAACTACTGTGAATGGGCTATTAAGAAAAAGTATCATCATAATTTTTTATGATCTTTACAATCATTACCTGAATTGCTAACAAAAAATCTTGAATAACATTGGCGTGCACAAGATCAATTCATTTATCATTTGATGCATTCAATTTAAGAATTCATATTTATGGTATTTGGGCTCCATACTGCTTCAGGGACAACAGCTACAATGTGTGATGTTACCCAAAAGGACCACATAAACACACAAGTCTGTGCAACGTTTTTTTAATTGGTCAACCTATCAATTTGTTTCAAAAAACCCACAAAACAACAAAACAATCTTCAGTGATGAAGCTACATGTTTCATCCATTTGTCACTTATATCCAACTTAGTTTTTTGCTAACATGAAACTTGTACGATGATATGTTGCTCGATTTGTGCAGGCACAATCACGTAGAAAACACATGGAGGAGAGCTTCATCACTTGAGTTCATCAGCCACTATGTCGTGTTATATCATTGTTAACAGTCTCCTCTCTCACTGTTTTGTTTGGGTTTATTCCGATTCTACTTCCCTCGATAATGACGATTAGGTGAGGACATTTTCGTTATTTATCTTTCTCACATAATTACAAAATAATGTTGCCCTGTGCCCTGAGATAAACATTACCAAAAATTTGTTTTCTTCTACCTTTTGTTGTTCTAAGTTTTTTTTTTGAATTCAGAATATTACTATTTTGGCAGCTCAGCAAATTATTTAATTGTTTTCTGTCAGTTCCGCAAATTCTTTAAATTTTTTGTCCATGTGATAATAATTCTTTAACATTTCAGAGTTGCAGAGAGTGTAAAAATAAATAAAAAATCATTTTCTTAGAATTGTTTTGTAACCAATTAGGTAGCAGCACTTTAATATCTGAGGTTATTTCCGTCAGTAAACTATGGTTTTTTGGAGGGAGTGGGGGAAGAGAAAAAATAGATATATGACGTGACCTCCATTGATTTCGGCGAACGAGCTTCTTCCCTCTCTCCCTCTCTCTCACATCTCCTCTCACACACTGTCGTCTCTTTGCACCGTTCCTCTCACTCTACCTCCAACAATGTCTGCTCCTAGGCCACAGAGATCCTCCATGATCTCGCCGTCTCGTCCTCGCAGATCGCCGGCGACTGCTCCGACGAAACGGCCGGAAAGTCCTTCCTCCCACTTTTCTGCCTCCCCGGCTGCTTCTTCAAGTCCACTCCTACGTTCTAGTCCAAGTCCGTCTACCTCCTCCGTCGATCGAACACTCGCCGCCGCCTCCGGTACGGCTGTTGCTTCCGCGAAACTCAAGGAGAATATCACGGTCACGATTCGCTTCCGTCCTCTCAGGTTAGTTTATCGTGGCCTGCGCCTTAGGATCCGGTTTTTGTTTTTCTAATTTAGATTTTTGGGATTGTTTGGTTTGATTGACACTGAATTGGTGTTTTTGGAATAGTCCGCGAGAGGTCAACAATGGAGATGAGATTGCCTGGTATGCAGATGGAGACTACACTATTCGGAACGAGTACAACCCAGCTCTTTGTTACGGCTTTGGTTTGTGAAAATTTTACAATTCGTGATTCAAACTGTTGAGAGGAATTTTTGATATTGCTTCGTTGTTCTTCGATATGGTGAAGTGTGTTATTATGTTCGCTGCAGATAGAGTTTTTGGTCCACCAACCACAACCCGGCGTGTTTATGATATTGCTGCTCAGCAAGTTGTTAGTGGGGCAATGTCAGGAATTAATGGTATGTTCATCTTATCTCGTAGTTTCTTCTCCAAAGGAGAACTGTTTCTTATGCCTTGAACAGTGTGATCTTAAGTCAACTTAGGACATCTTTCCCCTGAAATACTTATTCTTACTTTTATGTGCAGGTACTGTGTTTGCTTATGGAGTTACTAGCAGTGGGAAGACTCATACAATGCATGTAAGTTACTATTTAGAGACTGAACTATATATCTTTATGTTTCTTTTGGAAATCTACTGTGAATACTGCAACTTCAACCTGATTGCTTGGACTAGTTATTTGCGATCAAAAACCTTTCTTGTCGTTTTTATTAGGGGTTTCAGTAAGTTGATATATAGGTATCGAATTCAAAAGATAGCCAAAGGTGTTTCATTTATTCCCTTCGACTTATGTGGCACCTTTGCCTAATAGAGACCTTTACTAATGATAGATTTTGCATTTAGGGGGAGCAAAGGTCACCTGGAATAATTCCGTTGGCGGTAAAGGATGTGTTCAGCATTATTCAGGAGGTGATAGGTTACTCTTTAGTTGTGTTTTCTTGAAAGGATATGGCACTATCTTCTTAGCTAATTATGTTTCAGCTATCCAGACTCCAGAACGGGAATTTCTTCTTCGTGTTTCATATCTTGAGATATACAATGAGGTAGGTTCGGACTCTGTGTTTATTTGATTGACCTGCTTGATATGCTATATTTTTTTTCCAAATTCTTAATGGACATGGTGTCTTGGAGGAAGCTTAGAGGAATGCTATAGGTTTTAGTTCTCAAGTTCGTTTTTGTTCAAACCTACGAACTTAATTTTAGGATGGAATTTCTATTTCAGTTGTACATGTTAGTAAAGTCATGAAACTGCAAAGAGACAATTGCTGTTTGTTCTAGCGCGTAACCAGATTTCCACTTCCAATTAGTTTCTTGTACAATCACCTGGTGCATGATTTGAGGTCCTTTTAATTATTCTTACAGGTCATTAATGACTTACTAGATCCAACAGGACAGAATCTAAGAATACGAGAGGATTCTCAGGTAATATGTGGATATGTTTGATCGGATTCTGAAGTTGGGCTTTGTGTCTCATTTCGTTTATCTAAGCTTCAGTTGCATCATAATTCAGTAGTATTAGTGCGTGTTTATGTTGATAGGGCATATATGTTGAAGGTATTAAAGATGAGGTTGTCTTATCCCCTGCTCATGCTCTATCCCTCATAGCATCTGGAGAAGGTATAAGATCCTGGAGTTAAAATATGTGTTAATTTTGAGCGTCAGCTCATTCTCGCTTAATATAGTTTCATTATTATGTGCCCCAAAAAGTTATTTTTTTCAATAACAATCAAATTATGTGTTTAATGGCCATAATCTTCTTGCAATGGATTTTTTAGATTGTGGTATCATGGTTCAGTATCAATTGGTCGTCAACTTATCCTTCTCTTTAAAAGGTCATACCTTTCTTATCTCTGTTATGTTTGGTCTTGTGATTGCAGAACACAGACATGTTGGTTCAAATAATGTCAATCTTTTTAGCAGTCGGAGCCACACAATGTTCACCTTAGTAAGTCCTACTGCTTAAAAGTGCATCTTCCTTGTCTCTATCGCAGCTACGCATACGCCTTAGACCCTGAGTAATGTGCCTATACAATTGGGCGCTTTATTTTCCTCTTTCCCTTATGAATTTTCTGTGTTTCAGACTATAGAAAGCAGTCCACATGGAAAGGGGGAGGACGGTGAAGATGTTACTCTCTCTCAATTGGTAATTACTAGACAGCTCATACTGATTCTGATATTGTATGTGAAGCCATGTCACACTTGTTGCTGAGAAGTGTATTCATGTGCCGTCCTTATCTAACATCCTCCCTTTTTGTGCGAACATTCTGGTTCCCTAATATCTGATTCTGGGTTCAATGCAGCACCTTATTGATCTTGCTGGATCTGAAAGCTCTAAAACTGAGATAACTGGACAGCGGAGGAAAGAGGGCTCTTCCATTAATAAAAGCTTACTCACCCTTGGCACTGTAAGGAAGTTATCTTTCAGTGTTACATTTATTGCTCTCTATTTCAGCGTGACTAGAGTTCTAATCTTCATCTTCAGGTTATATCTAAATTGACAGACACCAAGGCAGCTCATATACCCTACAGGGATTCTAAACTTACGCGTCTCTTACAGTCGACACTTAGTGGCCATGGACGAGTATCAGTAAGTTCTATATACTATTCCTCAATTTTTGGATGGCCCCATGAAAAAAATAGTTTGTTTGAG